GTCTAGTGTGGCTGAGAAGGCCAATTCGAGAGTGACAATCTCTTCCACATTGAAGACAAATACAGTCTGTTCCCCGTCCAGCTCCCTGATTTTGCTGCTTTTGTGACTTCCTCTTTGCCTCGGCCTGCTGGACAAGGGTCTCTTTAAATTGGGAGAGGCCATGATGCAACGCCTGCCTCCATGCTGAACGCTGAGATGTCAAGGTTTCCCATCTGTTGAGGTCCATTCCTAAGGCCTCCAGATCCCGCTTGCAGATGTCCTTGTATCACAGCTGTGGTCTCCCTCTGGGACAGTTTACCTGCACTAATTCTTCATACAGGAGACCCTTTTGAATCCTACCTTCAGCCATTCGCACAACATACCCAAGCCAACGTAGACGTCGCTGTTTCAGTAATGTATACATGCTAAAAACTCCAGCTCGTTCTAGGACTACTCTATTTGGAACTTTGTCCTGCCAGGAGATATCAAAAATGTTTTGGAGATAGCGCATATGGAACGTGTTCAGCTTCCTTTCCTGCCATGTACGAAGTGTCCAGGACTCACTGCAGTACAGGAGTGTATTCAGGACAAAGGCTCTATAGACCTGGATCTTGGTCTATTCTGTCAGCTTCTTATTGAGCCATACTCTCTTTGTGAGTCTTGAGAACATGGTAACTGCTTTGCCAATGCATTTATCCAGCTCGACATCTAGGGAGGGAGTGTCAGAGATCGTTGAGCCTAGGAAAACAGTACCACAGGTATGGAATCAACATCTGGTGATCCTTCCCACAGACAGTGCCCTTCATTGTTCTCCCTTATATGTCAACCAGGTCACACACAGCTTCCTGTTCCCGGCAGTGCAGCCCAAAACAGGAATAGGTAGGCAGGTGAGACAATTTATAGTGTAGGGCCTAGGTTCCTAACCTGTGGCCCCAAGGATGTGTCAACCAGGTCACACACAGCTCCCTGTTCCCGGCAGTGCACCCCAAAACAGGAATAGGTAGGCAGGTGAGACAATTTATAGTGTAGGGCCTAGGTTCCTAACCTGTGGCCCACGGACCCCTGGGGAGCCCCAATGTCCTCACTGGGGGCCTGTGAAGGCTTGAAGAAACGTTAAGATATTTTGCAGATAGAATGAATGAATGAATGAATGAATGAATGAATGAATGAATGAATGAATGAATGAATGAATGAATGAGAAAACATAGAACAAAATCTTGGTTTCCCTTTTTTGTGTACAACTTGGCTTTATTGCCTCCATTAAAAGCAAACAAAAGTAAGAATCAGTTACGAAAACTGTTTGATAGCATATAATTGTTTGATATTTCTGCACACGGTGAGAACATGCAAGTGAATGACCCTGAGTGGCTGAGAGACGGCATGTGACATTTCTTGCTACTGTGCAGACGGTCAGAAGCCATGGGAAGATAGAGTCAGACTCAATCAGCGTCAGTGTGATAGTATTTTACATGTGTATGGAACCATTGCAATAAAAATATTATAATAGGAGTGTGTACATTCAAAAGCACTGAAGCCGGCTTTCCGATGTCTGTTTTCACTCATTTTTAAGTGTCTTAAAATGTTTGAAACCTGTTTTAAATGCTTGGATTCGGTAGTGCACAAAAACAACTGTTTGATAGTATATAACTGTTTGATATTTCTGCACACGGTGAGAACATGCAAGTGAATGACCCTGAGTGGCTGAGAGACGGCATGTGACATTTCTTGTTACTGTGCAGTCAGAAGCCATGGGAAGATACAGTAAGACTCAATCAGCGTCAGTGTGATAGTATTTTACATGTGTATGGAACCATTGCAATAAAAATATTATAATAGGAGTGTGTACACTAAGAAATTAACTTATTTCTGCCTTCTATCCAGATCTGAAGATCCTTCATGAGAAACTTAAATAAATATTTGATGCACACGTTAGGTTTTTAAATTTTGAGTTAAGTTTTGGTGGTCCACAGAAACAAAATATATTAATAGGGTAAATAAAAGGTGAAGAACTGCTGGTGTAGGGCATGGATGGGGGGGTAAATAAAAGGTTAAGAACTGCTGGTGTAGGGCATGGATGGGGAAATGTAACTCTTCAGATGTTGCTGGACTATAATTTTCTTTCACCACTGGCTAGCTAGTGTTGATGCCCTTTGCAGTCCAACGTATGAAAGGCCACCTGTTCTTATGCTAGGTGTGTTAAGAAAAGAATATTCATTCAGTCATGGGTTGATTTACCGTATTTTTTGCACCATAAGATGCACTTTTTTCCCACAAAACAGGGGGGTCTTATGGAGCGAAGAAAACAGATTTAGGTGTGTTAAGAAAAGAATATTCATTCTGTCATGGGTTGATTTATATGGTTTAAATCATGTATTGAAGATAGGATACGTAGTTGTGAACAATGTAAAATGAATTCCATATTGGTTCTATGTATGAAGGATTTTGCATGCTGGGAGTGTATTTCCAGAGGGCTGTGGGAATGTTTTCCTTTAGGCCAGGACAAGCCATTACAAGATAAGAAGACCAGACACTTGTGGCGTAGAAGGCGATGGACTGAGAAAAAAACACCTGTTTCTCATGAGGAGGGACTGTTTCCATAACCTTATGCCGTGATTGGATGACAGCTTGAGAGACAGAGGAGAAGGGTGGTTCCAAGAAGCTTGAAAAATGAACTTTTACTATGTGCAGAGATTCATTCTTTTGTTCTACAATTTTGGTGTACTTTTTCCATCATAGTTTTTCTAGGTCTGTTTGCCTGCTGCCCAGTGCAGGTAAAGGACTGAAGGAGATGTATGGAGACAAAGAAGAAAGGAAGGGGGCCTTTTTGCCTTTTGCCTGCCCTAAGGAAGCTTTTAGAGATTTTTAGGGATTTTTAGTGCCATCGTAATTGAAGGGAATTATTGCTTTATTTGTATTTTGTATCAAGCCTTGAAAACGGTAATTTGCTATGCTTTTGCATGAAGCTGATTTTATTCTGTAAATCTATATTTTTTCAATAAAAATAATAATTATAAAATATTTTGGTCTCTTGAATAGTGAAGTTGTCTTAGCGATACCCTGAGGGGGAAGCAAGGCCACATTAAGCTACTGAATCCTACCTTATTGGGCCAAGTGGGTCTAAGGACTACAAAGCTCATGTGTAATTTCTTATTGATTTGTCCTAAGGTTGAGCAAGTAGCTTTTTAGGGCAGACTTGTAAGAGGAAGTTTGTTGCATGCCTTGGCTGAGGTCACCTAGGACTCAACCCAGCTGCATGAGGGTGCCCAGACTTCTAATTACTCCCTGTCCAACTGGTCAAGTTCTCCTTTAGAGGAAGCTGATCGTGACACATTCAGTTCCTCATTCTCATTATTCTGGTTAAAGCAGCATGAGAGGACACCTCAGTGAGGAACTTTCAGGCCCTGCAAGACTCCTTCCCTCCAACCAAGGAGGAATGCTTCCTCTTGTCAAGATCTTCCTAAATTGCACAAACTGTTGCCACCCAAAACTAGAATCATTGCCTGCGGAGAAGCAAAACACATGCAGAGAGCAAGCACACAATGACCCTCCTTTGGGTGCTTCTGATCGTTAAAAGGCCCTGCAGCAAAGCAGCAGTCATGGTCACTTTGGACATTGGTTATGAAAGGAAGCAACATTTCAGTAAAATCTGCTCCTTTTCTCCCTTTACTAGCCCATGCTCTGCTCTACCTTGGCTCTAAGCATATTGTAAACAAGAACGGACTGTCAGGTGAGAGGGGAGACTTCAGGACTAACCCATGAAAAGTAGCCTCTCACTTCTGCCATCTTCCCACTTCTTCCACCCCTATTTTTGGTAGAAGTGACAACTGCAGAATGTACTGTTCCACTGCACTAACCTCTTCCAAAGGCAATGGAGTGCCCATTATCACTCAACTGTACATATCAGAAGCCCAGCATTCACTAATACAGAAGCGGTACTCTCTTAGAATACTATTCTTTTTTTAAAAAAAGTTTGGAAGATATTTCTAAACTGTCCTCACTTCAATTATGGGAATTATATCAAGAAGATCCACAGAGATGGAAAATATATTTATTGTAACCACATCTGAAAGCTGCAAGAGTTTGACTGATAAACTACAAGTTTCTTTCCCCCACTGCCCACCCCCCAAGAAGTCAAGCTCATCTCATAGTTAACTTGAAAGCTACCAGTGTTATTGAAAGATTCATCAATGTTTAGACAAACTTCAAGAAAAATCCTAGTTAACCAAGTAGACAAGTGTATCTCCAATGCTGGTTGTCCGCCCATTCTCAGTCAGGCGGACTCGCTTTTCTGCCAGGTCTATGTGAAAGACAGCTTGGTCAAAAATAGGAGACTTCTCAGCATCTTCTTTTCCCAGGACAGGAACCCGGCGAGGGCCCAGGAGGGGGTCATCAAACCGCATGAGTCTCACTTTGGAGAGATCTGAGAAAAGTTTAAGAAAAGCATTTGTTACATGAGTACACGTATCACAGTAAGGCTGATGCAAGATACTTAAACAAGAGCCATTGGCTTTAACAGCACCGAATAATGTTGGCTTGCTTAAATTGTACCTGGAATGTTGTTTACAACGTAACTATTCAAGCCAGTTGCTTCAAAGGTCACCGAAGCTCTTAATCACTCTTAATTAGAAGGCAAAGCGAGGTCAAGAATATATAGTTTAAATGTGCTTACACTGAGACATGCCTTAGCATGATGAAATAAGCAAGGGAAGGAGGCAAATGCTGCTTCTTTTTGTTCCTCTCCTATTGGAGGTTAGATATTAAATAATATTATCATGACTCTTCTGACTTGGGTTTTTTTCCCCTGTATAATTTTTTTATTTTCCTTATAAGGGTGGGATGAGGTTGGGACCAGCTGGGATAGGGACACCTTCAGAGTGGGTGGATTTCAACGGATACATTACAAATCAATATTTATCATAGTAATTCTATATGTTATCTTCTAGTAATATTTCCATATATCAGAAAAAAATATAAACAGTTATAAAATTATAACTATACCGTTACACTAGAAAACCTAGCTATAGATAATACGAAGATCTCAGCTAATCTCTCTTAGTTTCTAACTATGCTCAAATGATTGGTGGTGTTGTGTGCTCCCTCCTCAGCTCTTGCACCATTTGAATGTTGTCTTTTCTATGAGACTTTATCATGGTCTGCACGAAATTTAACTATGTTTAAAATGTATCAGATTCCCTATGAACCTGAGCATACAGGACTTCCCCAACGCTTGGTTATGGCTGCAGTAGGCACTAGACTTTAAAGATCAGAATATATATTTTAGTACTGTATATGTAACTACCATACTTACAGACACACACACCCTCTTGCGCTCTCTCCACATACATACACACACTCTCTAAGGAAAAGGGACTTCAGATGTTTTGGACTACAGGTGCCATGATCCCTGGCCATACTGGCTGGGCTTTCCAGTAGTTGAAGTCCAAAGCATCTGGGGGAACCAAAGTCCCTACCCTTCCCCCCCCCCATTTCGTCACAAGTAGATTCTCCTTCAGACATTCCTGATTGCCATGTCTTAATCCAATGGCATGAAACTTTCCCCTGATGAGCAAGTATAGCAAGGAGACATTTTAGAAGTATCTCTTTCAGGGGGAGATAAAGCTTCTGCAAGCTATAGGTAAGAAGCAGTTAACACAATGAAATGTTTGGATAGGAACTAGGAATTTGGAAGGAATGTCTAAACCGCTGGCAACAAAGGTGAGTACACCCCATTAATTAGACATTAAAGGCTGTGTGTTGTGTTATTTTATTTATTTATTTATTTATTTATTTATACCCCGCCTATCTAGTCATTTCGACCACTCTAGGCGGCTTACAACATAAAGCATAACAAGTTCAAGAAAAATTTATAAAAATTAATTAATTAAATGATTGTTTAATTATTTAATTATTATTATATTATTATATTATTTTGAGGGGACAGCACATTTACACTGTTATACAAACTATGTACTCACTGCTTTACATTGTAGCCAAGTGTCATTCTTCAGTGTTGTCACATGAAAAGATATATTAAAATATTTATGAAATGTTAGGGGGTGTACTCACTTCTGTGATATACTGTATATATTGGGGATGTGGGTGTTTATTTACAAAACCAGTTCTCCATCTTCTTCCAGCCATTTTCTTAATCTTGTTCCTGTCTTTCCTTCCTCCCTTTTAAACTAATATTTACATAAAGAAGGGGAACGAAGAGTGCATTTTGAGTCAATACAGCTGGCATGCTATTGTGAGGGACAGGAAGATTATGGGAAGTTTTGCATTCCCAAGGAGCTAGAATGTGTTTCCATAAAAACAAAACAGCAAGAGTTGTCTCTGTTTTGTTGTCAGATACAATTACTTCTTCCCAAAAAGTCCTCTCTAAAAGTTCAAACGATTTCTCAGCAAGAACTGCTAAGTGGAAATTTCCTAATGAGCCAGCTATTTTAGCCTGCCAAAGTTGCTGCTCTTTTACCACTAGCTTTTATCAGTCAATCTTTTCAAGTGCCTGCCTAACAGTGACATTTTCTGGAAGCGGCCCTTTAAAAGTATTACTGATTTAGTCTCAATTGCCTTTTTATTCACTTCAAACAATCAGGTTGTGGATCTATTGTAATTGCCTGCTCAAGACTGAAATATATTCTACTTTGGGTTTGGGTTTATTTTCAGGGGGTAGGTGGGGATGGTGGGGGTTGGTCTTTTGCTTTGCAAAACAAGTTACACTATATATTTCCTCCCCTCAGCTTTTTTGTCATAACACAGCTTCCCACTGTAATATAAAATTTGACTCTTTCCCCAAGATCAAAACACACAAGCTGTTGAAGTGATGAGGAAAATAAATTATCTTTCCTCCTTGGAAAGTTTAGGCGGAGACACCATTCTCCTGCCTGGCTCACAACTGCTGGAATCAGCAAAGCCACCAAGCAAACTGGAATGATTCACAGACACCCAGAGACCAGACACATGCACACACATAACATTCCCCAAACACTCCCCACCCACTAAAAGTCCCCCACTAAAAATACAAACATCTACACCTCAGGCCAAGTAACACAGTCCAACTAATTATTCACTACTGGTGGTCTTTAAGCTCATTATTAATTGTAATTATAGCTCTAGGATAAAAACTATTTAGAAAACGTGTGGTCCGAGTCTTAATTGTTCTATATCTTCTGCCAGATGGTAACAGTTCAAAAAAGTTATAAGCAGGATGGGAAGAGTCTCTCAGGATGCTATGTGATTTCCTTAGACAGCGGGATGTGAAGATGTCATCCAGGGTTGTAGCTGGAGCCCGATGATATTCTGGGCAATTTTAATGGTTCTCTGTAGAGCTTTTTTGTCCGCTACAGAGCTACTCCCAAACCATGCCAGAATGCCATAAGTTAGGACACTCTCAATGGTGCTACGGTAGTAGGACAGAAGTAAATGCTGTGATAAATTTAACTTCCCGAGCATTCTCAGGAAATACAGCCTCTTCTGTGCCTTCTTTATTAGCATGTTGGCATTTATAGTCCATGAGAGGTCCTCTGAGATGTAAGTACCCAGAAATTTAAAACTACCAACTCTCTCCACTTCCTCACCGTTTATGTACAGTGGTAAATGTACATTTCTCTTCCTCCTAAAATCAATTATGAGTTCTTTAGTTTTTTTGATGTTAAGTGTGAGATGATTTTCTTTACACCATAGTATCAGTCTTTGTACTTCCTTTCTATAAGCAGACTCATTGTTCTTATTTATGAGTCCCACCACTGTCGTATCATCCGCAAATTTAATAATTGCATTGGTGTTATATAGTGGGGTGCAATCATGTGTGTACAGGGAATAGAGGAAGGGACTCAGCACGCAGCCCTGGGGAGCTCCTGTACTTAGTACCAGGGTAGAAGAATGGTGGGATCCCATCCTTACTGACTGTGGCCTATCTGTCAGAAAATCCTTTATCCACATGCAGATCTCCTGAGGTAATCCCAGGTTGATCATTTTTAAAAACAACCTATTTGGTAGAATGGTGTTAAAAGCAGAGCTATAATCCACAAACAACAGCCTCGCATAAGTTCCCTGTTGTTCTAAGTGGCTCAATACAGTATGGAGTACAATGGACACAGCATCATCAGTAGATCTATTTCTCCTGTATGCAAATTGCCATGGGTCCAAAGAAGGTGGAAGACTAGCCTTAATGTAATCCAGCACCAATCTCTCAAAACATTTCATAATAACAGATGTTAAAGCTACTGGTCTATAATCATTGAGAGATACCACAGCTGACTGCTTGGGGACTGGCACTATAATAGATGTCTTCAGGCAAGTGGGGACAGAACACTGCAACAAGGATAGCTTGAACATATCTGTAAAAACTCCAGCTAATTCTGCAGCACAGCCCCTAACAACTCATCCCATGATTCCATCTGGTCCAGCTGCCTTTCGAACGTTAATATTCTGGAAAGCGCGTCTCACATCTGAAATCTGCAGTACTAGTGGTTGTCTGTCGATGGTAGATTCTAGTGATGTATTATAGACAGCAGGTGCTGGAATAATGGTTGTTCCTGTTTCCACCTCAAAAAATTAGCTTTGCTTTTAAAAAGAGGGGATGCTGCCAAGCCTGTTCATCACAGCGGCTTGTGCTACTGAGGCTCCATGCCTCACTTACTTTAACTGGATAGCTGCAGAATAAGACCATTAACAACTGGTTAATGATGAGGAAATCAAAGCGCTCCTTAATCTGGGGACTGGTGTGAAAACATAAATTGACTACTATACTATTTAGCAGGTCATTCATAGTTAGCAATTAGTTTTGCTAGGGAAATGGATGGACTAGAGAATTTGGGAGGTTGTAAGGAGTAGAATGCACTGGTGTTACTTGTCTAGTTCCTTCCCCTTTACATTTCTAGGGCTGGATATCTGGAGCAGTTCAAGCTGGCTTAGGGGCTACCAAATTATGAGCAGTACAACATGAATAATTATATCTTAACTGCTTGCACAAACACACACAGAGAGTCACACACAAACACACAGAGTCACACACATAAGAAATCGCATTCTAGACCAGCCTAAAGGCACCACCTAGTCCTACATTCTGTTCACACAACAGCAAATCAGTTGAATGACGGGGAGCTGATTCATAAGACAGAATGCCAACTGCACCCTCTGGCCCAAATCCTGTTGGGCAAGGTTTGCCTGTGCAATGGAAATGGTACCAGCAGCAGATTGCCAAGGATAAAAGACTCTCAATTTTGAGGTGCCCATAATTTTGTCCCACTGAATGCTAACCATGAGCACTCCAAAATGAGAAGTCTAAATTAGCAGCAAATTGCTGCTGATAAAGATGACACCATCCTGTGGAGCAAGCACAGCTGAGCAACAGGATTTTGTCTCACATTTGCCAGCACCTGACATACAGAGAAATACTTCTGACACTGGCCATTATATACAACCATTCCTTCTAGCAGCCACTGACAGCCTTACAGTGCAAACAGAGAAAAGTGACAAAGCAATCTAAAGACCAGAGAAGCTAAGAGATTCCTGCCCACACACAGGCTTGGAAGCACTGTGGATCTTCAAAAAAAAATACAAACTTGTTCTACAACAGTCTATGATTGGAAGTCAGATTTCAACCTGATGAGAAGTAATTTGTTAAAGCTAGTTTAAATTCTGTATTGCAGGGTAGAGAAAAATACTTTTTACAGCCACTGAAGCTATCAGATCTGCCTTTCTATGAGACGAAGTGCATTTGCTTTAATGCCTTTATGCCGCCAATCATTAGTGCCCGGGAACCCTAAGTGCTTTCAGAGACATGGAGCTGATATGCACCGCATGTAACACTGCATAGTCAGAAATTTAAGACTTCAAAAATAATGCCGTTCATGCATCAGGAAAGCATGGGGTGAGTTGGGGAAGGACTCCTGGGACTCCTAATGGATTAATGTATCCCTCATGTTTAGGTTGTAGGATCAGGTCTGGCATAAGCAGGTGGGAACTAGTAATGGTGGCAAATTTCAGATCTTCAGTTTCAAACCATTAGCTGAGTTCAAATTCCTCCCCCCACGCCCCCCGTGAAATTCACTTACAAGAAAAAAAAGGCTTGGCAATTTGAATTACAGTGGTGCCTCGCTTAACGATTACCTCGTTAAATGATGAATCCACTTGACGATGAGGTTTTTGCAATTGCTTTTGCAATCGCAAAATGATGTTTTAATGGGAAAAATTCGCTTAACGATGATGGGTTTCCTGCTTCGAGAACCGATTTTTTGCTAAACAATGATTTTAAAACAGCTGATCGGTGGCTCTCAAAATGGCCACCCGCTGTGCAAAATGGCTCCCCGCTGTGTTTAGGACGGATTCCTTGCTTAACAGGTGCCGGAAAATGGCCGCCCTATGGAGGATCTTCGCTGGACGATTAGGCATTTAGCCCATTGGAACGCATTAACCGGTTTTTAATGCGTTTCAATGGTTTTTTCCCCCCGATTGACAATGATTTCGCTCTACAGCTATTTCACTGGAACGGATTAACGTCGTCAAGCGAGATACCACTGTATATATTTTGTGTCATTTGTAGGCCTCCTTTCTCCTGTTGATGAGACTCCAGGCCGCTCACAATAAAACAAGTAAAATTTAAAACACAATAAATTACACATTAAAAAGCAATTAACCTATAATAATAATTTTAAAACACATTCAATAATTTTTAAAAATATTAAAAATTCAAAAAGCAAACGTCCTTAGCTAAAAACCAGCATCCAGGGGCTCAGTTATTGTTTTTAAAAGCCTGCCTGTAGAGGCTATGGCTCCAGCCCTATCTTATAAGGCTTGGCATACTACCAGGCTTGATACCAGGCCTTCTTGGCAGTGGCTCCCAGTCTCTGGAACAAGCTCCCCCCTGAGATTCGTCTGGCCCCCTCGCTGGGCATTTTCAAAAACCAACTCAAGACCTGGTTATATAGACAGGTCTTCCCTCCGAGCACTATGTAACTTCCTCTTTTTCTCTATCTTTATCTACTTTGTTTTGTGTAAATGCTGTAAATTGTTATTTGATATTGTTTTTATTCTGCATTTTGTGAGCCGCCCAGAGTAGACTATGTCTAAATGAGCGGCATATAAGCTCAATAAATAAATACATACCGGTGCTCTAGGCCTGCAACGCCCAAACCTTGTTTTGGACTTCAGCTCCTGAAACTCTTGGCCACTGGCCATCCTGGCTCTTTCGAAGTTCAAAATGTCTGAAGCTTGAAGACTATGGACTTGGGCCTTAATGGAGGCCTTGGTGTCAGACAACAGAACCCTTCCTATTACAACTGATATTCTGAAGTTAGTTTTAGGGGAAACAAATAGGATACTAGAGGTGAGGAAGGGCCAGGGCCAGGCTGCAATCTTGATGATGCAGCTGAGAGCATGATAGGATCTGGTTCCTGAAATCCACTCTGAAACAATATGATACATTTTCCAGTACATCAGACATTGGTTCGCTCACGCCATCCTGAACTACCATTATTAGTAACCAAGAGACACAGTGGAATATATAACGCCTAATGTATTGGAAAATGTATCGTATTGTTTCAAAGTTTTGCATTAATATTGTTGCCGCTGTTCCTATTGCTGTGTGCTATTTTTTATTTTCTTGTACAGTATTTCTCCAGTGCTTGAAGAAGAAGAAGAAGAAGAAGAAGGAGAAGGAGAAGGAGAAGGAGAAGGAAGAGGAGGAGGAGGAGGAGGAGGAGGAGAAGAAGAAGAAGAAGGGGCAGCAAACAAATCAAGGAAATGAATACTTCGCCAACATGTTAAGTCACTACAAAGGTGAGCCACCAGACAAGACTGCTTTGCTCCCGATATCATACTGCTCTTTCTGTGGAGAGATCATTCTTATTAGGCACATGCATGAGAACCTTTGTGATGCCTATGTGTGTGTCTGTGCACAGTTGTAGGTTCTAGGAAAAAAAAGTGCTGTCCGTATATCCCTGGTATACTTTTCAAACAAGATCTATGTCATAAAAGCCTCAAGTGTGGAAAAGATACAACTCTCAGAATCCCACAGCCAGCATGGGCAGGTATCAACAGTTCCTTAATAAATTACAAAGTATTTATTCCCTTGATTTGTTTGCTGTTCTTTTACTGAAACACAGAAGAAATACATGGTCAGTGGCTATGCTGGGTGGAGAATTCTTGGAATTGTAATCCGTAAAATAACTTTTCCAAGCTCTGCAAGAACTTTGTGTAGAAATCACTCCAGTGAACAGTTATTTTGGTAGCATCTGATAATGCTAGGGTGATAAAAATTTGTGAAGTGTGCTCTACAGAATTAATGTGCCAGGACAGGAACAACAAAAACCAAGGACATGCTCCTCTCTGTGTTCTTCTATTTATTAATTATAAGGAGACACCAAAAAGCAAGGAAACGCTTTTCCTTCATTATATGCACTAACTAGACAGGCCACTTAGTATGATAGCTAACATCTACTGGGCTGAAATACAAATCTGAAACTGAGCTTGAATGTTACCCTTGATTCCTCTGTCCATCTTCATCAAGCGTCTGATTACTGCATCTCGACCATCTCCTTCCCTGATCTCAATTTTTGTAGAAAAGTGGCCATTTGCTGGTTGAGGATTCACCAGAAAGACAGACACACTTGGCTGTAAGAAAATAAAAAAGAAACAAACCAAAATCAAATATAAAAATGTAATTGCCAAACTGAACACAGAGTTTACAAACTCATGGCCATCTACTCCCAGTGTGGCTCACTTCCATGCATACAAAAAGACAAGCAGATAATTGATACTCAGATATATGTATTTGTTGCGTTCTAATCCATCTTTCCTCTGAGAAGCAGAAGGGGGGGGGACTTAATAGTTCTCCTACACTTGGTTAATGTCATGAAAATCTCATGAAGAAAGTTAGTGAGGTCAGGAAGGAGGAATGTTCAGCCCTTTAGATTCTGTTGGCTCCCTCCTATTGGCCACAGCCCGAAAAGCCAAGGGTACTGGATGATAGGAGGTTTTGCCCAATAATATCTAGATGACAAACCCTCTCCCTCCTAGGGTTGTGTCCTCCCTCTTAGCTGCTAAAAGATGTTGACCAGCCCTAGTGAGCTTTGTAGCCCAACAGGACTTTGAATTTTGGTCTCCTTGGTCTAGCCTGTCTAATCACCATACTGGCTGTGACATGTTACCATTTTCTCCATGTAAACATGTACATGTGCGTTTTTTCCATTTTGTTTTGTTTTTGTTTTCACAATTTGACAACTACTCAAAAAGCACTGTGCCAAAATGGTCTCTCTTACACACAAAATCATAAATATACTGCATAGCCCATTTGTGAGATAAGATGAACCCATCTTCTGAAGCAGCAACACCTTCATTGATAATACACAAACCCAGCAACATTCTAGGATCCCCTTGCAGGATATAAATGACCATGCAGAAATACACCATTACATATGTTAATATAACCTCAAAATCAGGTCCCAGAGTACCCTCTCCAGCATTGCACCAAGAAACTGAATCCTGGGATGGGCTGTGATAATAAAGGCCAAGTCTGAAGGGACATCAGAAATGGGCTGCAACCAGATGTCAATAAAAGAGACCAGAACTTCTTCTTTTTTCTACACACAAAGGGCATGTCTACCATGTACCCACTGCACTTTGGCAAGAGCATCCCTTCAGTTCCTGCAGAATTGCTACTCTTCCACTCACATGGGAGGGAGGGAGCGAAAAACCATCATACAAGCAATGCTGCAGAGAGAACAAAAATCCAGCTTGCCAGTATCGACTAATTCTGAGTTAGAATATTTTGAGAACATCCAGCTTGCCAGTATAGACTGTGGCTGGAGCACAGAAACATTTTGTGCCCACCCACCATAGCCAGTCCCCTCCAACATGCAGACTAACATTTTGTGCCCACCCACCCATAGCCAGTCCCCTCCAACATGCAGACTTCTTTCTGCCCCTCTCTCCTACCGCACACTCCCATAATGGGAATGACATGCTCTTATCATCCTCTTCCACATCAAGAAATGGAAAGGAGGCAAGGGAAGGGGAGGAAGAGATTAAGATCCTGAGATAGGCCTGACCAGAGAAAGTCTGAGTCAGTTCTCAGTGGACCTGAATACAGTCTATGGAGAAGCTTAACAGGCTACAATCTGAGACGTGACAGACAAGGAGGAGAAGGGCTGATGTTAACCAGAGACCAAGGACCCCCATTACATTCATAAGTGAGATCCCACCTTGTGCAAGTGAGTCAGGAAATATCAAGGCAAAGCACCTAGAGGAGACAAGGCTTCTGGAGAAGCAAAAGAAGAAAGCAATTCAGACTCACGAACTTACTTCTACTCGGAATGTGCAGAAGGGTTTTCCAGGACAGCAATCTTCTCTAATCTTCTCATCTCCTTCCGAAGCAAACTTCAACTCGATATGTTCCAGCTTTAGAAATTGAGAAGGGAAATTCCCGACAATGTTAGTCATAGAGAGGGAGCAACAGAATAGTTGGGACAGGTGAATGTCAAATAAACCATTAAACTTGGTTGGAAGCAAATCTTCCTTGTTGAAGCCATGAGGATTCTGATTAGTGTTAATTGACTGTGTTCAAAACAATCCATTCCACCGACTCCATGGGCTTCAATATTTTTTCATGCAGCTGCCCATCGTTCTGGCCTACAGGCAGCTACTGTTCCCTCTGAATAACAGATTCTGAATGCATGCTTCACTAAAACAACAAGGTTATCTTTTAACCTTAGAAAGGCAGCAAGCTAAATGGAGCCACCACAGGAAACACAATGAAGTATTTAAAAAAAACACAACAACCTAAAAACACGCAATGGTACACACTCCTTGTGGAAGGCCAATGGCACTTATTATAGAAATCTAATTCTGAGTTAGAATATTTTGAGAACATTTCAGACATTCAGAGTATATCACAGAAACATTTTGTGCCCACCCACCCATAGCCAGTCCCCTCCAACATGCAGACTTCTTTCTGCCCCTCTCTCCTACCGCACACTCCCATAATGGGAATGACATGCTCTTATCATCCTCTTCCACATCAAGAAATGGAAAGGAGGCAAGGGAAGGGGAGGAAGAGATTAAGATCCTGAGATAGGCCTGACCAGAGAAAGTCTGAGACAGTTCTCAGTGGACCTAAATACAGTCTATGGAGAAGCTTAACAGGCTACAATCTGAGATGTGACAGACAAGGAGGAGAAGGGCTGATGTTAACCAGAGACCAAGGCCCCCCCATTACATTCATAAGTGAGATACCACCTTGTGAAAGTGAAAGACTTCCCCTGAGTCAGGAAATAACAAGGCAAAGCACCTAGAGGAGACAAGGCTTCTGGAGAAGCAAAAGAAGAAAGCAATTCAGACTCACGAACTTACTTCTACTCGGAATGTGCAGAAGGGTTTTCCAGGACAGCAATCTTCTCTAATCTTCTCATCTCCTTCCGAAGCAAACTTCAACTCGATATGTTCCAGCTTTAGAAATTGAGAAGGGAAATTCCCGACAATGTTAGTCATAGAGAGGGAGCAACAGAATAGTTGGGACAGGTGAATGTCAAATAAACCATTAAACTTGGTTGGAAGCAAATCTTCCTTGTTGCAGCCATGAGGATTCTGATTAGTGTTAATTGACTGTGTTCAAAACAATCCATTCCACTGACTCCATGGGCTTCAATATTTTTCCATGCAGCTGCCCACCGTTCTGGCCTACAGGCAGCTACTGTTCCCTCTGAATAACAGATTCTGAATGCATGCTTCACTAAAACAACAAGGTTATCTTTTAACCTTAGAAAGGCAGCAAGCTAAATGGAGCCACCACAGGAAACACAATGAAGTATTTAAAAAAAACACAACAACCTAAAAACACGCAATGGTACACACTCCTTGTGGAAGGCCAATGGCACTTATTATAGAAATCTAATTCTGAGTTAGAATATTTTGAGAACATTTCAGACATTCAGAGTATATCACAGAGGATGTGACTCTCACAGCTCAGATGAGTAACAGTCCCCAACATGCCACACACACACACACACACACACACACACACACACACACACACACACTTTGGAGCTAATTCTTGAGTGTGTAACTCCTGCAAGCTTTAACATAAAAAAAACTGAAATGCATGTGAACAAAACCTAAGTCAAGAAAAGACACACAAAAGAGATGAAGGCAACGCGGTTCCTTTACTCTTTTCCACCATGTTCAATAAACTATTTCTGATTCTTAAGAAATGCTCACCTCCAAGGAATTTGTCAAGTAAACGATGTTCTCTCTAAGCACAGCCTGTTCATCAAACTCCAGCTCCAGATCAAGAACACGTGACCCTTTCTTCTCCAAATTTTCCTGTGATGCCAAAAGTAAGAAACAACATGTTTTAATTAAAGTCATTACTATAAAAATTGAATAGTAAGGCTGAGCCAGCTTTTGGCCAGCACTTCAGGTGTGCAAAAATATTTTAAAATACACATTTTATTATGAATATCTTACAGTTTTTCACTTTTTGAGAGATTCGCAGGTTCCTTCTTGTTGGATTTTTATTTTAGGTGCCCCCATTCTGCAAACCTAAGCCTTAGACTGAAGAGGCTTCCCCACAGCCAACAAATGGGAACCAAGCCACAAGTGGAACTATTAAGATTTATAGAAAGAATGACATGCACCCTTTGGAGAAATGTAGTACATTTTACCTCCATGAACTTTTTAAAAGCTTACTGTATTTAGAAGAAACAAACTATAATTTCATTTCTCCATTACATCAAGATATCTATCAGGATTAAGCTTGAGCGTCAAATCACATGATCACCTTTTAACCCAGAAGACAAAAATGCTATGTGCAGCCAGAACCTTTGAAAAGCGACCATTAAAATGGCCCATCACTCTTCAAGGGATATTGGAGCGGGGGTTCCCTAGCCACTTAAGGTCATTTGGACTGTTAAGTTTATACGCTTTCCCCCTGGAAACTAGAAGTGTCTGAAAATGATAGCTGCAGGGCCCAGCTGGTGTGGCCCCTGATCTGTGAAGGTACCCAAACCTGTTTGACATTTCGAGGCTTTCGTCATCTCTGAAGACTGAATGCATGCACTGTGGACCTTCTCTCTTGTTTTAACCCAAAGAACAGATCAACATCATGAAGTTCATGAGCTGAGTCAAAACATTTATACTGGTTCTTACACTGCACTCCCCTTTTCTTTTAACCTGGTCATAAGATGAAGATTGGGGACCACAGGCAGACACATATGGATACAGTACACGTCTACCTTCAACGCAGTAAAGAAAGATCTGCACTGATGAAGGAATTCCCCAAACAAGCAGTCTGCAAGAAGTCATCAATCAGGCAAGATCTGCAGGCACCTTCCATTGCAAAGCCTCTCCTTCTGAGGTAAGTCCCCTTCACTCTCTAGACATGCTTCCCACAGAGCAACAAACCCACTCAAAACCAAAGAGAAGATATCACCTTTGTTATCTGATGCCTCCTCTATATGCGAGAATGCTTTACTGGTAGTTTACATCTCTTTGCAAGACAGCAGATTCCTTTTCTGTTACACTAAAGTCTTTGACCTAACAGGACTAACAAATAGCTCAGTGAATTTCAATGGAGCTTGGCAACTCTGAGTGCCAAGGAATTGAAGATTCATATCTCTGTGGCTTCTGTGCCGTTGCCTCCTCCCTTCAATTCACCATGCACATGGAGTGGCAATCTGATGAGCATTTGGGACGTACAAGAAGACTGGGAAGCAACAAAGGACTCCAAGGGAAATGCGATGAATAAACATCATGGAAGCATCATTAAAAGAGTGTATCGCTTACAAAGTTCTAGGAAGGCAGAGGAGGAAGAAGAGTTGTTCCATTTCCTAGAATCAGGTTCCTGCTTCATCAAGAATGCAGCATATGCTCCTTACTGCCACAAATGCATTTGGCAGGGGATGGGTGGCAGCGGCAGTGATGCAGCTGAACCGTAACAGTGCTCTGAGACTCTATGACTTTGGCTTAAGAAAGCAAACACTGACACTAAGATTAAGTAACAGCTGTCTTTTCCTTCTGTCACTCTACAAGCTTTGCAGAAAAATATACGGCTGAATTAAGAAGAGTCAAAACTTGCTGTTTGGGATTTATACGGTGTGACAGAACTTACTGGTGGTTCCTTAAACAAACAAATCACCCTGTCCTAATGTGGCCAAAACAACTGCCTTCTTACTTAGTTTTTGAACTGCCCAGTGCATTTGCCTTCTCTGTCTTCTCTTCTCTTCCTCCCCTGCACAGCAGCAGTGGGCATCCGGGGCTGATTTCTGATCTCCTCAAAGCAGCCCAGGTTACATCCCCATTGAAAATGTCTGCATGCTTTTTTTAAAAATTTGAATTTTTTCAAATCTGGAAGTGATTGGAAGTTCATTCCAATTAAACTGAATCCACAACGAGCCTCCTTTATATAAAACAAAGCCTTTTATCTTCCTTCAAAGGAGAAGTGATCACCAAAAGGTTCTGTCCTCAACAGCCCTGCTCAGCTCTTGCAAACTCAAGCCTGTGGCTTCCTTTATGGAGTCAACCCATCTCATACAGTGGGGTCTTGACTTAAGAACGGCTCGAGTTAAGAACATTTTGACTTAAGAACCGCTCTCATAGGAAAATATTGACTTGACTTAAGTACTTAGATTTGAGTTAAGAACTGAAAAAAAACCACGTGGGAGGCAGGGAAAGTGCAAAATTTAAACTTTCAGTTAACTGTTGGCCAGTGAAAAGGGTGCCTGTCTGCTTCCTCACTCCTCCCAGCGTTTAGAGAGTGGATTGGGAGACAGTCTTCGGACTGCCTGGTCCTGTACTGCCTGGACTGTATTTTCCCTGCCTTCCCTGAACCTTTCTTGACCTAAGAAAAAAAGAAACAAAATATCCCCCTCTAGTGGTCGAAGGCGGAATAGCAGCTTCCCATTAGTTTCTATGGACAGAAAAGAGCAGATACGGATCAAATGGTTCTCAATGCATTCCTATGGGAAATGCAGATTTGACCTGAGAACTTTTTGACTTGAGAACCGCCTTCCAATACGGATTAAGGTCTCAAGTCAAGACCCACTGTATTTGGTCTTCTTCCTTCCCTGCTGCCTTCAGCTTTTCTTAGCATTATTGCTTTTCCAGAGAATCCTGCCTTCTAATTATGTGCCCAAAGAAGGACAGCTTCAGTTTTGTCATTCTTGCCGCCAGAGATTGTTTGGGCTTGATTTGCTCTAGGACCCACTTGTTTATCTTTTTGGTGGTCCAGAAGATCTGCAAAGCTCCTCTCTCCAACACCATTTTTCAAAGTAATCATTTCCCCCCCGTCAGCTTTCTTTACTGTCCACCTTTCAGACTCACACAGATTTTTAAGTATGGGCCTTTTATCATCTGCTGAACGATTTACACATTTTCTAACCTTAAGGCATCTATGTTTTTTATCCCTACCAGTCTGCAGTTTTACAGATATTAACTTATATATTTTGGAATTTTGATTCCTAAAAACAAAGCCTTTTATCTTCCTTCAAAGGAGAAGTGATCGCCAAAAGGTCCTGTCCTCAACAGCCCTGCTCAGCTCTTGCAAACTCAAGCCTGTGGCTTCCTTTATGGAATCAACCCATACTGTATTTGGTCTTCTTCCTTCCCTGCTGCCTTCAGCTTTTCTTAGCATTATTGCTTTTCCAGAGAATCCTGCCTTCGAATTATGTGCCCAAAGAAGGACAGCTTCAGTTTTGTCATTCTTCCCGCCAGAGATTGTTTGGGCTTGGTTTGCTCTAGGACCCACTTGTTTATCTTTTTGGTGGTCCAGAGGATCTGCAAAGCTTCTCTCTCCAACACCATTTTTCAAAGTAATCATTTCCCCCCCGTCAGCTTTCTTTACTGTCCACCTTTCAGACCCATACACAGATTTTTAAGTATGCGCCTTTTATCATCTGCTGAACGATTTACACATTTTCTAACCTTAAGGCATCTATGTTTTTTATCCCTACCAGTCTGCAGTTTTACAGATATTAACTTATATATTTTGGAATTTTGATTCCTAACGTGAGAGGAGAGACTCCATGACTGAAGGATTGATTTCTTGAATATATGTTTGACATGGTAGAATACTTTTATTCCACCAGCTTCTTCTTAGTGTCACTGAGAAATAAAGCTTTGTTGAAGTGTAGCTGCCACTAATACTTGAGGCAAAGCCTCTCTACATAAATTAAAACTATGGAAGGTTGCCAGATAGCTCAGTAGTTTAGGCATCTGGCTGTGGAGCCAAAGGTCGGGAGATCAATTCCCCACTGTGCCTCCCTGACACGGGCTCGACCCGAGGAACCATAGGGTCCTTTCCAGCCCTGCAGTTCTGAAATAAAACTTTTGCCATATATGCGGCTTTATAGTTATTTTTGCTCATTTCTTATTTAAATGAGAACTTATTTTATTTTCATTCATTTTAGAAGTTATATATTTAGGCACAAATTTAAATTTTCTAAAAAGGGCTATATATACACTTTCATTCGTTGTTTTCCTCGTCTTCTTAGTTTTTTCTGTATATCTTGGTTCAAGTTTCGTTCCTGTTTTGTTCTTTAGCTAAAATCTAAATGTACTTAACTAACTTATGGTGGAAAGGAGAAGTTACTGATGTGCTTTTTTGAAGAATGAAAAAGATAAAACAGGCACACTTCCATCATTTCTTCCTGAAATTCAACATTGTGCTCCTTCTCTCTCAAGAAAGAATTGACTGTGATCTTTTTCAACCCGTGTTATGGATAATGGAAGCACTCGATAAAGCTATGAGGAGAGGGACAGTGAGAACAGTGAAGTTGCTTTTTTCAATCCATGCAAACACACTAAAGACAGTGAAATCGTCATCATGATTTCCTCTTTCGGTTCAAATTCTCAGGGGCCACACATAACATTAACACTACTTTATAAGTATTAACTTGTTCAAATTTAAAGCATGTTGGGAGTACAAGGAAGTGGGTTCAACTGAGAAATGAGTGAAAAAAATCAAGTGATAATGAATGCTTAATGGAGGACATTGACCTAGTACCAGCAATAGGTCTTGAACTGCATAAATATTCTCAGACATTACTAGTTCTAGACCTATGCACGGTCAATGAAAGAAAGCATATTAATGACAAGATACCCAGAGGTATGATCACAAAACCTCCAAATTCCAGTTCAGAACTCAACATGAAAGCCCACCTAGATTCTGCAATTATTACATTCCTCATTCCCTGTTTCTGCAGGAACAGTAAATAAATGACATTATCTCCTTCCCTCTAGGATTGAAGACGTTTCACACATTAGGATTCTTTCAGTTCTTCATGCCACTTTGCCTGAAAGATTTGGATAATTTCTAGGGGTGTTCTTTTTTAGACGTTAGAATGAAGTCTGCAAATGCAATGGGATTTATATATGATTTCCTAAAGAGCAACAATAAGTTTTAGAAAGGCTGACCTTAATCATAGCAACAAACGGCATAACCCTTTTCATGTATTTCTTCAGCTCTGCTAAGGAACTGAGTTCACTGGCAATTATTTTGTTGTCTGGCAGCTCTCCTCCATTGGCCTGTAACAAAGCAGATACAAGTTCCAATTATATTACCGTATATGGCAGTTTGGGTCTGAGAGGTAAGTCCATGCATCCCCCAGTTTAACTTGTTCGACAAATTAGTTTGGCACATCTCTGCCTAAAACTTTGCCTTCTTACTTCTCTCTAAATGCATACATAAAATGGCATTAAATGCCTTTTTTTCTCCAGAACTCTTTACATTCTGATTCTTCATAAGTGCTGCTTATTATAAACTTTTTTTCAAATGGATAAAGAAATCCATGCAGATAGGCTCAATTTTTATTTTATAAAGCCCATCTTTCTCTGTGTAGCTACATTCTAAACATCATGCTCTGCCCTAAACCGTTTAAGGAACAGCTACTGGCTCAGGCTCTCAGAAACGGTAATTGGACAACCCAAACATAGCTCAGTGTTATCATCATGGTTTGCACAAAGCTCAATAAACCTTTTGGCTGTTGCTGGCTGCCAAGCACTACAAGAACAGGAGAGGGAAGGATCCAGGTTCATCTCAGACTCTTCTTGTTATATGCTCTCAAGTCGTCTTCAACTTGCAGCAACCCAATTAATGATCTCCAAAATGCCCTGTCCTCAACAGCCCTGCCCAGCTTTTGCAACCTCAAACCTGTGGCTTCCTTTAGGAAGCCAATCTACCTTGTATTTGCCCTTCCTCTTTTCCTGCTGCCTTCCACTTTTTCCAGTATTATTGTCTTTTCCAGAGAATCCTGCCTTATGATGAGCCAAAAGTAAGACAGCCTCAGTTTCAACATTTTTGCCTCTATAGTTCAGGCTTGATTTGATCTGGGACCCACTTGTTCCTCTTCCTGGTGGTCCAGGGTGGAGCAAAGTTCCCCTTCAGCACCATGTTTCAAACAAATCAGTCCCATCTCGGATTGGGCTTTGCTATGTTAGTGGTGCATCACCGAGAAGTGAATTCTGTTTCTCACACTGTTCTTTAAGTGTACATTTCAATTTAACTCCCCTTGCTAGAAATCCCAAAGTGGATGGAAAATGACTGTTCATTTGTTTCTAGTCCTCTTTCCAATCTTAATTGATGGAAATGAGCACCAAATTACAAAGAAATGCTTGTTCCCAATTAAAAGGAAATTAATTTAACAAAATTCCTGCAAGTGATAACTCACTTGCTTGGCTCTTCCACTTGAGCGGTGCTATTGTTCCTGTGCCACAACAGTTAAAGGATCACTTCCAACAGCTCAAAGACTCTGGGACTGCTCCTTTTAAATTTCTTTGCATTGTGTTAGTTACAAGGAAGAACCTCCTATTGGGCACCAGTACATTTCCTACAAAGCCAAAGAATTATCATACCCATTGAAGACTAGAGGAGAAGGTAAAGGTATCTGCCTAATAAGGAAGCTGTACAGATCTGACAAGAGCCAGTAATTCTGCAGCCCAGCCGATACTGAAGTAAACAGCTTACTAAGCTTCGAATGCACAAAAGATTAATAACAAACTCAGACTGTCCTCTGTTTCTAAATGTCACTAGAAATGAGATCATACAGCAAACTTAATAATGCACCCAAAAGGACATAATCATCAAACACTGAAAGATCTGCACAGCTTTATTAAAAATACAGGAAACACATATTTTTCCCCTTTGAGTCGATGAACCTGATGCCAAGCTGGTTTTATTTCTGATGGGGAAGGAGACAGAAGGGATGAGAGGACAAGCAAGGAAAGAATAATAGAACAAAAGGAAGTGGTGGGAGGATAGCTGGCATTCTTGCTTTCTTCTCACCACCTATAGTGTTAGTTCATACTATTGCTTGTGATATTGCACTGGTTTTAATGGAGCTCTTACTTGCACGTAAGCCCACTGTGCAGATCCTCTGATTCAAAAGAAGGACATGAGCATGCCGTGTGATTACCTGATAATGCTTGCGCAGAACCGACAATGTGGTGTGCTGCCATGGTGGGTAGCTCTTGGCCACATATATGGTACAGTGAGATGGCTTCTGAGGCACCTCCTTACTGCCCTTCTAGAAAACATTAAAGGAAAATGTCTCTGAGTCAAGTGCATAAACCTTGAAAGCATGTGATGGCAGGAGGAGATGCCAGGACTCACCTTCCCTTTTCCTGGTGCCCTGTAGTTTCTAAGACGCAGACGGAGATCATGGGCCACCTCAGTGAGGTACTGGGATGAGCGGAGGAGCACTTCATCCACAGGGCCAGGCACTGGCCAGGAAGCTTTCATGATGGAGTGAGGCTTCAAGTTGGAGTTGACAACAAAAACAGTGATTATGGGAGAAGAAAATCCTCTACATCTCCTGTTCCCCAGGCCAGTATCTTATTGAGCTTTCACTGATGGAAAGGTCCGCAAGGCAAAGCAACACTATCAGGACAACTGCTGCCCCTGAGCAAGGGGGAGCTCCGTAAAGATGATGATGATGATGATGATGATGATGATGATGATGATGATCATCATCATCATCATCACCATCATCATCATCATCATCATCATCATCATCATGTGCTGCCAAGTCAGTTCTGACTTATGGCAACCCTTTTCAGGGTTTTCCAGGTGGCGAATGCTACTTCAAAGTGTTTTGCCCTTCGCTTCTTCTGCAAACATCAAGGACTATGCAGCTTGCCTAAGGCTATGAAGGCTGGCTCTGTTCATAACAGGTACTGTGGGGAATTGAACTCCCAACAGCCAGAGAACCGCTGAGCTATCCAGCCAGAAAATCCACCCTCTATTTGCACAATGGCAACATTTAACATAAGCACTGTGACCTGGTGTTGCTAAGCTGATGGGACCCTCCCACTCACTGGAAACATAAGAGGATCTTCGCTCAAATCTCTGCAACAGACAAGGCCTCCTCCAGAAAAACACAGGAAAATCAACAGTACCTTGCCCAACAATGTCCAGATATATTCACACACATGAGGGCAGATCGGAGCTAACAGAAGTGTCTGTGATTCAATAAACTGGAGCACCAGGTCCCTGTGCATGCCTTCTATTGCCAGTTCACGGTACTTGTCTTTTGCTGCCTGAAAGAGAGCCAGCATAAGCATCGTTAAGGACATTGCAACTGTCATAGAAAAGCACTGCATAAAAGACATTTTCCTTGCTTTGATCTGTCCTTAAAACATAAACTACTTATAAGCCTATAACGGATTATTAAAAGGGCCATTTTAAAAAAAAAATTTAAAACCCAACTGGGATTGGAATCAAATGAAATTCTGCCAGTTGGACATTATATAGCTTCACATTATTACACCTCTTAAAAAAGACATCTATCGGCATGGACATAAAAGTCAAGGATAACTGTAACTGTATATTAGGCGCCATCATTCTGAATGGTCCACATAAAAGGCTACCATTAAGTTAGTAAGAAAAAAAGGCAATAAATGTGATCTATTATTATGCACATGGTTCAACCAGCGGAACCATCCTTATGAAAGGCAGCTGGGAAAAGAAGTTAGAGCAATTGATTCCCCAGCAAAAACACGCGGCGGCTGTGTGAGAGCTACTGACACCTTATGGACCATTGCAGAAAACATTCTGCTTCTTAATGGCCAGGGGAATAATTTTCTGCTCCGACCATATTCGAGGAAAAGAAAAGATTTGTGAAAGAGAAAGGCAGAGAGCAAGAAAGTATTTTTCTTTAATTATTTTTCTGCAATTATTCACGGCCAACCAATGGTTGTTAACTAGAGGCTTGTGCTTTCAGACTACAAATCCCAGAATACCTCAGGCAGCTGCTAGGCATAAACAGAAATCTGCACACCTCTTGCTGTAACTCCCTGATAGTCAAAACTGTGTCTTCCAGAAGGGTAATCTCAACAGAGCACTGACCGTAGACAAATTAATCTATTTATTTCTTCCTATTTATCAGCAGGGACGTGGTGGCGCTGCGGGCTAAACCGCAGAAGCCTGTGCTGCAGGGGCAGAAGACCAAGCAGTCGTAAGATCGAATCCACGTGATGGAGTGAGCTCCCGTCGCTTGTCCCAGCTCCCGACAACCTAGCAGTTCGAAAGCATGCAAATGCAAGTAGATAAACAGGGACCACTTCGGTGGGAAAGTAACAGCGTTCCGTGTCTAAGTCGCACTGGCCACGTGACCACAGAGGATTGTCTACGGACAAAGGCTAGCTCTATGGCTTGGAAACGGGGATGAGCACCGCCCCCTAGAGTCCAACACGACTGGACAAAAATTGTCAAGGGGAACCTTTACCTTTACCTTTATTTATCAAGTCTATGCTTGTTGATATAATGAAAGCAGGGAAACTATTATGAAATGAGCCACAGTTCAATGATGAATTATGTGTAAGGTCAAAGATCAATCCCCGACACATCATGGTTGAATGATGTAAAGCAGCAGAGGAACAGAGGAAGAACATTCTTCACTTGGCAGGGCACAAGATTTTAGAGCATTCTTCTCACTCTAACTGATTCATTACTAGTCAAGGCATGATAAGGCAACTACTGATGTATTTGTCTATGGCTTGCTATCTCTCCATCCCAGGCACCGGGTATATGAAGTTCAATGAGAAGTGCAAAGTTGTTTGATTGTCTGCTCTTTCAATACTAGTTGTTTTACTCTACTGTTGTTGCATGGTTTTAAGTGTTTCCTAAGTTACCTTACTAGTCTATGGAGTAAATGCCCAAACTGAATTTCTGAAAGCTTGTGCTCTGGAGAGCTGGCAGCCTACCTGAAATTCAAAGAAGCCAGTTTTAAGAGCTTCCTTAAACATCATCTTCTCGTAATTTTCATCCGTTTTCATTATTCCTGCATTGATTTCACTGGATAAGATTAAGGAGAGGGAAAAAATCTAGATCAGGGAGAAATATCACAATACAAGCATCTGTGAGGAAACTGAATTGTGCACAGGGAATTGTAGAAGTCTAGATTTCTTCTGGCTTCTTTTTCTGAAGGAAAAAATCCAGGAAGGTAAGCTTTTTCCAGATACCTGGCAAAGACCTTATCATTGAAGGTGGTGGCAGGCCCACTTCTCAGGCTGTCCCAGTTAGCAAGCATCTCCTTCACCCACTCCACCCACGTGTACAGGCGGAGGACACCGGCATCTGCCATGGCTTCCACAAAGTTGGCATCTTCAACTGTATCACCTGCATCAGCCAGCGCCAGTCGCATGCCTAGAAGGAAAACAAATCTACAACATTGAAAGCTATAGCAACTCTGTTCCCAGCAAAATGAGCACATGGCATGCTTACAATGACAACAAATGCAAGTACACTGACGTCTTCATGCATTGCCCTGGGTATAAATATGAAGCTCCAGAAAGGCAATTGGGCCCTCCCCTAACTTGGAGGAAAGAAAAGCCAAAAGGATTCGCCATATTTTCCCATGAGGCCTCTGGTCTTTAGTTTTCGGTCCCCTGCTTCAATATGCTCTACAACCCTTCCATATGCAATCCAAAGAGGCTCATCAGCTGGGATTCTCAAAGAAGTTGTTGATTATCCAAACACATGCCTACACGCTCCATTTCAAAATGAATACTTAAGTAGGTATGTTTCAGTACAGCCTGATTCAATTTGTATCCAAATTGTAATTTTACAGATCTGGACTGCACTGCTTGGAGCTGGCCCGAAGGTCGGCTGGACTGATTACTTCTTGGTTCATGTTGGGAGGACTGCAGACATGGAGAACAAATGGCTATGTCCTGTGATGGCAGATGCTGCACAGTGCCATCAATCTGTTGAACATGGCAAAGCTTTACAGGGAGGAAAAGCTCCTACCCGCTTCCTCCCCCACTCACCCACCCCAACACAGAGCCATGTGTTCTATTCCTCGTTCAGTTCTCACTTATCCATGAATCTACCCAACATCAGCCAACAGCAGGCATTCAGAAATAGAAGAACATTAAAAATATTAGCAGAGGGGAGGAAAACAGGCCCTTGTGCTCTTTTGACCTATCCAATCAAAGCCTGCGCAAAAGAGTTGTCATTAATCTCACAATCATATACAAATTCAATGTGAAGTGTGATTAAGACTTAAAAGGAAAAAAAAGAAAAAAATAATTCTAAAAGGAAGCCCGTCTAGTAGGCAATGTAGCACCTGCTTTTTGCCTTGCTCAGATGAAAAATGATTGCTCAGCAAAGTGGGTGGCAATATATGCAGGCTGGTGGGGTTGGTCTGAGCCTTCCTCAGAGATTCAGGGACTTGAATTTCCAGGGAGGTCCTGCTCTTTGCTGGGGCTTCAGCTGTAAGTCTCCTTCTACCCTGGCACTTTCTTCTTTTGCTCCATTCCCCTCAACTGCAATTGGCTGCAAGTCCCCCCCCCAAAAAAAAATCCAGCTTTTTTTAACCCCCCAAATTCCCAACACAAATTTAATTAATTTGTAGGGGCATGCAAAGTGATCTGAGGATAACTTGCAGGTTCTTAGACCCACCTTGTTGCTTCATCTGAAAATGCTTAAATATTACTAGATACTTTACCACTGAGTTTTTCAGATTCTGACTCAAGGTAACTTTAATGGTTTAGGTCAGTGGTTCTTAACCTTGGGGTACTCAGGTGTTTCTGAACTGCAACTCCCAGAAACCCCAGCCAGCACAGCTGGTGGTGAAGGCTTCTGGGAGTTGCAGTCCAAAAACACCTGAGTAAGCCAAGGTTAAGAACCACTGGTTTAGGTATCTGGCTGTGGAGCCAGAGGTTGGAAGTTTGATCCGCTGCTGTGCATCCCTGAAAAAAGGGATGATCCATAGGATCCTTTCCAGCTCTCCAGTTCTAATATCATTTCTAAAATTATTATGCCTTCTTACCATCAGCAGAAAACTTCTGCACAGCTGTACTCAATGTGAGAAAGTTGCCTGTAGATTTAGACATCTGTAGTAAAAGAAGAATTGGTGAGAGACAAGTAAGCAAAGCTATAGAATGGTCAACCTCCTTGAGTTAAACTCCTCGCTCATAGAAAGATGCATTGTGATCAGTGCTGAGTTCTAGCCATCATGGGTGGAAAAGGCTACTGCTTGAGCTCCACGGCTGACATCAAAACTATGGTCTGATTTCTGTGTGGGTGAACATCTCATGTACCACATGTGGGAGAGCAGCAGAACAAAAAACAGAAGAGGTTGTGCTCCCTGAGCACTTCCTACATTATGCAGACCCCATGAAAGCAAAAATGTCAGCTAAAGGTCCTTTACAGCATGAGGTTCTGAAAAAAATTCATTATGAATTTTTTGTCCGTCAAAATCCCTACAGGCATTTTTTTAGCTCCTGCCAAGCAAAGACAAAGTAACTTCAAGGTAAATAATGCTTTTTTTAAATGATCAAAAAATAGATTTAAGCATGAAAGAGAAAGCCAAGAAATGTGAATTCTTGGACAGACTCCACAGTTTCTCCTTGGACTGACCTGACTATAGGAAAGCAAGCAGGAACCTATTGAATAAATATATTGAGAACACTGTGTAGATGCCTGATAACTAAAAAACTTCTCCAACAGAAATAGAACTTGTTCTATTGGTCTTTTACATCATAACTGTGCCATACTGGCCAAACAAAATTATGTACCTTCTCTGAATTCAGGAGGAGATGCCCATTTGATCTCACTGCTCGAGGCCACTTTCCCCTGCATTGGAAAACCAGAAAAACTCAGTATTCATTCTCATGGACTTCTTGACAAAACACCAATGATTAGTAAGGTAGGAGTGCACTTTTCAGGCAGCTTGCTCACATGGGTAGCCCCAGCAGTGTGGCTGTACTCTTCAAGATAACAAGAGATAAAACACAAGTACTTTATCTCTGCTAAAATATCACTATGTAACAAGACCAAAAACACTATTACAATATACATCAACATCAACGGAATACAACCTCAACAGAACCAATGGAAGATGAGAGCCAAATCAGGAAGTTGGCAGGACAGGTGAACTCAAGAGGTGTGATCCCATAAAAATACTTAGATCACAACAATCTTACCCTACGCCACATCTTTGGAGCTTCACTGAAGCCTTCTACTAGTGCAATAGAAATTCCACCATTGGCTTGAAAGTTTAGCCTTCCCCATCCCCATAAATTCTAAGAGTTCTCATTACTAGAAATCTTGGCCCCCAACCTTTTAAAGGAATATAGCAAGGGTGGAGACGTTTCAGGCTTTCAGCTTTTGATGAACTCCTACTTCCATCATGCCTCTCCACTATTATTATCTCCACTATCTACTAGCTGAAGCTGATAGGTATCCAAGTGCAAGAACATCTGAGGGCCAACTGATGGAAGTGGAAAGGACAGTTTGCATTCACACCAATAGGCTCCTTCTGCACCTGTGCAGACATCTTTGGAACATTCCAGAGCTTGACAAGCCCATTTGTCCATACCCTCTCCATTGTGCATGCTCCCTACCTTACTCCTTATCCTCAGTTTCCCCAATCTGCCACTGATAAAAGTGTCCGCATGGTGGACCAAGAGAGGATTAGCTGGTTGTGTGCATTCACAGAAGACTACACAAAGGATTACAGTTATAGGTCCTTTTTCTTCATGGTCTCCATGAATCAAATTCACAGAAGACTACACATAGGATTACAGTTATAGGTAACCAATCTGTCCTTTTTCTTCATGGTCTCCATGAATCACACACACGGAGTGTCACTTTCTCCTTGTGGAATTGCAGGAAGGGAGAGTCATGTCTAAGAGTGCATGGTTGGTTCACTTCTCCTACTCGTCAATGTTCTTGTCATGGAGAAAGATGTCTTATAAATGAAGACTCTGAGATGTGTTATTGTCATTGGCTCAAGCGGTGGCTTCCTAGGCTGGTTAATCACTAACGTTAGTGTTCTCTGTGACATCAGGGTAGACAATTCTTCAACCCTTTCAAAAACTTTTAAAGGGTTGGATTTGTAAAGAACTGTGATGTAGGAGATCCTGGAAGTTGGTGTTCCACTGCTGCTGACAAATAAACTTTTTGTGACAAATGTGACAAGTCCCTTTGCTCTAGTTGCAGCAAGAAACACAAGACAGTGCGCCAAACGGGATCAGTAGCACTGGTCCATTGACTAAGCATAGATCACAAATTTCTTCCATTTGTATTTGTAACAACACCTAGTGGATGGTTTCTTTAATTCTAGTAAAATTCCTTTCAGCACTGGAGAATTCTCCAGGCTGCCAATTTCATCTGTGCAACGTCTGGGTAATGAATCGACCCTCAGCTTAGCGTTATTAAGTCTGGCGTTACTGGCAGCTAATTGATGTCTGATACCATTAGTCTCAGTGTCACAAACCAGGTTTGATGTGGCCACCATAGAGCAATGAGAATAGCGTTGCTCTTTCCTTGGCAAAATTTCATCATTACCCTGCATAGAATAGGGACTGGTGGGTAAGCCTATGCTAGCATCCCTAACCACCTGATTATAAATGTATCACCAAAAGAGCCATGCTTACGACCATGAGCAATAATTGTTGCATTTCTTGTTGACTTTCATCACAAACAAATCAAGTATGGGATGATCCCCATGTCTGCAAATGTTCTCAAACATGATTAGGGACAGTTCCAATTTGGGAATTCTGTCAGCTTAGATGATTGGCCATCTGGTTGTCTTCTCCCACCATACGTGCAGATATAGGTAGGGTGTGCATTTGAACACACGACTCCCATAGTTGGATAGAGACGTGACATTGGGGGTGTTCCTCACTGTTTATGTACTACATCATTGTGTTGTTGTCTATAGCCACTTGTATTACTCTACTGCTGATTATTGTTCTGAAGGCTTTGAAGGCTTTTATGACAGCCAACATCTCCAGCTTGTTTATATAAAGTTTATTTTGTGTTTTGGACCATAGGGCATGGATTTAAGAGTCTGCTTACAGTCTATTGAGTTATCTGGCTCCATTCTGGAGACTGAGTGACGGCAGAAGAAGCTCCAAACTCCTGAGATTTTTTTTCTCAGACACCGACCGCAAGCAAACCAGGTCTTCATGTTCTTTATTTTGAGGACAGCATCATGGTGGCAACATGCTGGAGACTCATGGTCCTTATTCTTCTCCAATTTCTGTTTGATCTTTGCTTTCTTTACCTAGCTATACCCTGAATCAGTAAACATCTTCCTCTGTTTGGTTGCTGACAGTGAGGTTGATTTCATGGTCAATGGACTGTCCTTGATTTTGGTAGTTAATACTACCAATTTATTTGGGGGTTGGATTCGTTTATGTCATTTCTGACTGAATGGCTGCCATCAAGACCTGTCTGGGTGGTATTTCGCAATTTGAAAATAATGCTGTTATTTGCTTTTCAATATGGTCTCTCAACCACAAGTAAAACTTTGGGCCCCCCTACCAGTTTTTGATTGCTACTTTGGTGAATTTTTAGCAAATCTGGCAGTTCTGAGTCTGATGCCCCTCACCCAAATAATAAAGGTACTTAGAATGTGAGGAGTATTTCATTACTGTAATTGGCTCATTTCTTCAACAGCCCCACAGAGGCCATAAAAAGCAGGAAGGCCTTGACAGGAAGAACACAAATAACTTTTTTGGGGGGGGGGGGAGAATAATGATGAACAACTCACAAGATGAGAAACAGATCAACAGGCAAGAATTATAAAGGAGAGGTAGGTATATTCAGAATAAAGTTATGTCCAAACAAAAAGGCTCCAAAAGTTCTGAAGGTGTTTCCTCAGTGTCAGCTGAAAGGGAACTGCAGATTCGGAGCAGGGTAGGGAGCATGAGCTGTGAAGAAGGTATGGACTAATGGTTATTCATGCTCTGAATCACTCCAAAGATGTCTATGCAGGTGTGGAAGGAACTCATTAGTGTGAATCCCAGAGACCATGAAGAAGAAATGGTTATACTGTTGGCACAGCCAAAGGAAGGAAGGAAAGTGTGTACAGTTTATAAAGGAAAACGTTTTAAAATAAAAAAGTACTGTGCATTCCCCCCCTCCCTTCAATGCATTCCATGGTAACCACAGTACACTACTCCCACCCTCTCCCCCATAACTTTCAATAGGGCAAATTCAACAGGCTGCCATTTTGGCTGAGCAGGACCTTTTTCTGGTCAGCATCCTAGTTAACCATGGCTGGGGAGGGAAGAGCTTCTTTTCCTCACTTGTTAGAATTACACAGCTTTGGCCTGGCAAGGTAATTTGCCTCGACAGGCTTAACTGTCACAACCAGCCTAGTCAGGGCAGTCTGGGGAGGAAGGCAGTAGAGCCTTTTTCAGCCATTCGGAGAAGAACCTGAACGCACGAGCAGAAGCCTAGGCCCTCCTCCCTCTGCTGTCCTTCTCTGCGGGAGAGGAGTGATTGTCTGCCGTCTGGTAAGCCTCACTACACACTGGAGAACGATGGGTTTTCAGGTTCCCCCGTGCATGTGGCTAGCAGGCTCACGTAGCAGACTGTCTCCTTTTCACGCTGTTGCTCTCTTTGTGCATCAGATCCATCCTTTTCTGAAGGCCAGAATAACGTTTCTATTACACTTCAGGGTTAAATGTGGCAAAAAGGGGAACACCCTTCAGGGATAAATGTGGCAAAAAGGTACTTGTTAAAAACTGGGCAAATTCAGGATTTCTTCAAACTAACCTTTCATCTGGCCACATGGCCACATGGTTATAAAGGAAGTACGACAAGTGATTTGGAACCAGGTCCTTGCCAGAAGCACGCAGATCCACTGGATACCAAAATTCAAACTCCTGCTTCAGCTTATCCAAATTTTCTTTGGGGATTTTTGTTGCAGGGAAGGGAGCTGTCTTAAAGAAGATGTAGTCCCACACCTCTTTGGTCAGTTGGTTTGCCCTGTGCACATTGAGAGGAGGGTGATTACAAGAGTAAGAAAATAATGAAAATAGCCTTGATAGATATCGCTTATACTGCTAGCTAAGCACACAGTGGCTCAGCCTCTATATTTTATTTGACCAGGTCATTTGACCACAGAGGAAATATTTATTTATTCATACTAGCATCACTGACACTATTTTTGTTGCACTGTCTGTCCTGCCTCTTCATACTTCCATTGCTTTAAAATCCAAGAGTCCAAAACAAGTTAAAGCTTACAATTTCACAAAAAAGTACAGCTGATTATGGTACATGAAGTCAGCCATTGCCAGGTCAGTTGGGGGCAGAAGTATGTAACAGACAGATGACTCCCATGACCTTGAAAAATTAGAGGTGGAAAATTGACATTGTACAGTGGTGCCTCGCTTAACAATGTTACTTCGTTCCAACGAAATCGCTGTAGAGTGAAAACATTGTAAAGCGAAATAAAAAAGCCCATTGAAACGCATTGAAAACCATTCAATGCGTTCCAATGGGCTGAAAAACTCACCATCCGGCGAAGATCCTCCATAGGGGCAGCCATTTTTGGTGCCTGTAGAGGAATCCGTCCAAAAACACAGCGGGGAGCCATTTTGAGCAGCCGGCAGCCATTTTGAAAACCCGACGATCAGTTGTTTTGATCCTCGTAATGCGAAGAATCAGCTCCCGAAGCAGGGAACCGATCTTCGCAAAGCGGAAAAAACCCATTTAAAACATCGTTTTGCGATCACAATTACGATTGCAAAAACGTCATCGTGAAGCAGATTCGTCGTTATACAGAGTAATCATTAAGCGGGGCACGACTGTACATTGCATCAGATCTCACATAACTGTATCCAATCTGTAGCCCAACTAGTCCTGGTGTCAGTATCTGCCATTAGTGAAACAGTAACATGTTAGAACATATGATCACCAGTTTTGCACCTAACTGCATTTACTGTACCTGTGTGAAGGCTGGGGGTGCTTTAAGTCACTTTTGACGGTGGCATGAGTACCACAAAGAGCAAGTATAGTGTAAATGGGAGAATCATCCAGTAGTGATAGATTATGTCTTTTTTGACCTGGGTGCATACACAATCGTTGATATGCTGCTTGAGTCAATCTTAATTCAGTTTTCTGTTTCCTTTCAGAAGTTCAACGCATCTGAATCAAGAAATCAAATTCCACAGAGCAGTTCTCATAGACTTCTTTGATAATTTGGATTAAAGAAGCAACAGTGGAGTGAATAGCATAATTGTTGCCAAACAACACCCTTTTCGTTTCTACCTGCTTCGTCTCCTCCCCCCGATGACCATGAGAGAGACAATCATTAGCCAGCTTAATTAAGAGTCCAGATGCATATTCTTTGAGCACACCACACACCAAAAAAGCATAAAAGAATCTTCTTGGCATCCATTTCCCATACTTTGAAAGAAAAGACTAGAATGCTATTAAAATTCCTAAAGCATCCATGTATGGCTTCACCCAATGAAGGCTTCATCCCACCAACTCAGAAAATGCAATGGATTACACCATGAAGGGGCAGCTACTCCAGAGGCATTTCAGAGAACCAAGAAAAACAATTCACTGGGAAAAAATACATTTTAGTACAAGTAAAAGAGCTGCTGGTTAACAGTCCATAATTAATTCAGGCTATAATCATCACGCTGAAGAAAAAAAATGACCCTTCATCTTTAATGACACAAAAGTTTAGATTCAACTTGGGAGTGGCAATACTGCTAGAAGCATAAGGTTGGGGCTCTGCTGATGGGCTCAAGGTCCTGAAAAGAGAATTTTTATCTGAAAAGCTTTGTAACCGTTGGGAAACACAGGGACAAAAATAGCTATTGAATGTACAGTGGGGACTGCAGAAACAGTTTATACAAGAATAGGTTCCTGACTAAGGATGGCAAATAGCCAGTAAAACAAAAAGATTAGCCTCTTGATTCTGGTTTCAGTTACTTTCTTCATTCTGATCATGATCAGATTTACAATGACCTTGCAAAGCACCCATCTGTGCTAGTCCAGCACACGTCAGTCTCTGCACCTGCTATGCCAGCGTAAACTGGCATAAAACAACTGCAGCAACAGAAAAAAATGCACCCTTAATTTCATTATACAAAGCACAGCGTCAACCACTTGCAAAAGAATACACACATCACACCTTACCGCCCTTTTCCTTCTCACCTAATCCCTAATGGAGGCTCTCCTTGCCCATTGAGATGCCCCCCCTGCAGAAGATGGGCAACAGTATAGTAGGCCATGTAGATAGTAGAATCAGAGAGAGATTCTATCAACCATTGCTCGTCCCAAGGCAAACGAGTACCTAGAAGATGACAAAATATGTTCATTACACATTGGCATTCTCGTTTTCTAAACCGGGGTAGGGAACTTTTCATGGTACTGAGGGATGAAGTCTCCTCGGAAAGAGGAAGAGACAAAGCAACACAAGTGTTCTCCTTTTAAGCCGTCTAGGTCTTAGAGTCATGGTGGAAGTGGGGGAGGCAAATTGTTAGGATTACTGCTGCCAATAAAAAACATTTTTAAAAACCTTCTACATTTCACACTGAGATAAATCAGCAAGCATCAGATATTTCTACTTGCAAGCATTGCCACAAACAACCATTAGGAGCTGTTGTCAAAATTTTATACAAGTGGATTAGATGGCAAACTTAAAAGGAATGTGCTTAGGCTTGTCATGAAATTGTATCGGTAAAATAGACACATCCCAAAGAGGCTTATAAATCCACATTTTCCCACTAAAGTACTAGAAATCTATAAGAAAAATTCCAATCAAAAGCTGAGAAGTTGCATTGTTATATAAAATGTTAATTTGCCTGCCTATAGTGTCTCATTTTATGCCATTCAAATATTGCACACATTTCAAAAACTAGTAAGATTAAAAAGGTCACACAATAAAGTAGCATTCTCATCCAAGTGAAAGAGAAGTTATTTACCTAATCCATAGGTCCTTGAACAGGCATGTTCTTGTAACCAATCCAGAGTAGCTTCAAAATTTCTTCTTGTCTCTTCACCAAATCTGGAAACAGCAGAAAATTAATCTTTCCTCCATCCTTCTACATTTACGTGAACTCACAGCTTCCCTGGTCCTTTTCTCCATAACTTACGTCTCAAGATTCTTCAGGCATTCATGAGTCTGCTGCTTCCACTTTTCTTCACCATAATCTAAGTACCTGAAGTAGGACAAAAAGTATTATAACAAGACAAGGTGGGAGAGAATGTAACTAATTCCATCATGTTATTTTTTCCAACTCACCACTGATCACAAAGAGCCACCACACACTCATCAGAAGATCTAGATATGACTTGTTTCTCTGGCTCCATATAAATAATTGCTTCATCCTAAATAAAAAGAAGAGCAGTATTACAACTGTGGGACAGCAAAAGGGAATTTGATGAGATATGGAAGTAACTTAAGTAACAGTAATAACTTCATGCTGGCAAGTCAGTTCTGACTTATAGCAACCACTTCCAGGGGTTTCTAGGTAGGGGATATTCAGAAGTGGTTTACCGCTCCCTTCTCAGCCATTTCCAAGGGTTTCTAGGTAGGGAATACTCAGAAGTGGTTTACCACTCCCTTCTTCCGAAGGCACCCTGAGACTATGCAATTTGCCCAAGGCCACACAGGCTGGCCGAAGGCACCCTGAGATTATGCAGTTTGCCCAAGGCCACACAGGCTGGCTCTTTTTCCAAGAAGCACAGTGGGGAAGTGAACTCCCAACCTCTGGCTCCACAGTTAAATACCTATCCAGCCAGAAGGTGATTTTAACCATACGAATATCTTGAATTCTATTTTAACGAGCAACCACCTCAGGTCATAAATCTATGGTCTCTGAGAGGGCACCCCGAGGTATACAGGATTTTCCACATCTTATCCTTTGAGGGCAGAGATTGAAGGGCCCATCCTCTGTTGCAGAGACCCAACCTCTCAAACCCCCTCCATGATACTGTGATAAGGTCCTCCAACTGGCACTTCTTGAATAGCAGAGCTCATAAGAAGAATTCAAGAAGGGAAGGAGTCAAGGGAGAAGCTGTGGAATTACAGGATCCAAGATCCCAAGACCCTGGTATACATACAGGATGGGAGAAGAACTACAACTAGTAGTACTACAACTAGCACAGATCCTTTCCTTCCCATTGGTAGCAGTGGAAGGGAAACAGTTAATGAGGGAGGAAGGAGTTGCTCCTCTTTTCCTTATGTCTGACCGGTACAAGTCCAATTGGTCTTTGGATAAAACCATTTTTTCTAGATTCACATCTATAATTCCCCCAACCCAGAAGGGTTGCTTTCTGAGAGTCCAAACTTACATTGGCTCAAGGTTAGAGATCTGAAATGAAAGGTAAGATCTCTACATACTGAGGACACATCTGATGTATTCAACTGAAGGCCATGAACATTTGTACTCTACATCTTTACTTATCCAAGTACTAGCAGATACTCCTGCCAACCTAGCAGTTCGAAAGCATGCACATGCAAGTAGATTAACAGGGATCACCACGGTGGGAAGGTAACGGCGTTCCGTGTCTAGTCGCACTGGCCACGTGACCACGGAAACTGTCTACGGACAAATGCTGGCTCTACGGCTTGGAAATGGAGATGAGCACTGTGCCCTAGAGTCAGACACGACTGGACTAAATGTCAAGGGGAACCTTTACCTTACTACCAGATTGGGAAATGTTTAAAGTATGTTTTTTTTTTAAAAAAACAGCTTAGTCAGCTGCCTCACTGAAAACTGACACACTGGTATTCTTGTTCCAGAATAGGGAACCTTCGTCCCTCCTCAGATTTTTTGGGCTAAAACTCTCACAATCCCTTACCACCAGCCATGTGGCAAAAGCTGGTGGGAGTTGTAGGGGGAAATCTGAAACACCAAGTTTTCCCCATACCTGCTTGAAGTGCTATAGACACAGGGCAATGACAACCAGAGGAGATCTCACAAAGTGCCTTCTCAACAGCATATGTTCTGAGACCCTCTCAGCTGAAGCATAGGTGCAACAATGCCCCTTCTCTCCTAAAGCTGTTCATTCAAAGCAAGAAAAGCTTTGCATCTATTATGGAGATTAACTTTGGATGAGCACAGTACGAACAACAGCAGAATCAGGAAACTCTTGAAGTTACTCAGCACCAGGAAATCCCCCTTGGTTAGCCTATCACAAGAAGAAACATGACAGCATAGAGCTGGGATCTCAGGGTAGACCACATCTAGCTAAGAAGAGTGTGGCTTGGACGGCTCCCTTATGCCAAACCAGAAGGCGTCAGCTGCATGTTCTTCTGCTCTTTGATTATGAAATAATGGACTATGTACAAGATAATTCATGACAGGCAGTGGACAATCAGAAAGTGAGTGAAACATGAGGGGGGATGGGGTAAAAACAAGTCTGAGCAACCTTCCCCTAAGACACCTCTGCAGAAGCAACAAAAAATAGTCTGTAGCATTCTGCAAAGGTGTTTGGAATGTTTTACATATGAAGCACATCCATTTCTGAGGGAGGCACATGAAAGGACAGCTAGCTTGGAAAAGGGACTATTTTGGCTCACAACTCCAAAGCCTGTCCTTGAGCACTGGAAAAGATGTCTGATGCCCACTGGAGGACACCAGTAGCCATACTGAACTGGAAATTATGGTATATGCATTCCCAAAAATGTAACTTTTCCAATATCTGATAGAAAGGACTGTACATATTATTCTGGTAGAGTTAAACGGAAAAACAAATTTTAGATTTCAGCACCACGGCAGTAGTAGAGCTTGATGTCTTTTCTCCTAAGGAAGGTTGAAAGGGAACAAGCAATAGAGGCACCTTTTACACACCGGATAATGTACTCTGTGCATATCCAACTTGTGCCAAGTCCACCTAGAGTAGCAAGAGAGCTTTGAGCAGAATAGGGGTGAGTTTAAATTCATAAGGCCTATAATATAAAGTGTTTACTTCTGAGGTAACGGGAGGACCAGGTGATGGCTTTACCCATGCACAACAGGTCTTCCAGAGAGAGAGAGCATTTAATTCTGATACCCTCTTGACTGATACAACAGCCACAAGGAAGGCTACTCCAAGTAAGGGCACTCTTACCGTAATGCTACACAGAAAGGCAAATGAAGGCTTAAGCCAGGGCCTTGAGGACAAAACAGTCCAGGCTCCCTCACTGAGCACCAATGGGTGCTGCCCATCTGAGGAACCTCTTCAGGTACAGATATGGACTTCCACAAGTAAGATTGAGAAGGATAAGGCCAGCTTTCACAAGATGATGCTAATCAGTATTAGAAGAGGGTTTCAATAGCCTCTGGAGGGGACCAGGCTGAGGCTGCACTTCTCCAGTCTTTTTCCTCTCCTTGTTCGTCTCCTGCCAGAAGCGGGGTGTTATCATGGCTATAGCAACTTTAGATGTGGCAACTCTGAACAGTGATGTTGTGCGGCATTCAAACCAGTCCCCAAGGATCTTCAGTCACTACGTTCTTCCTCTTTCTGCAATTCTTTTCCCTCTTACTTTGTTTGGAACACTCATCTGTAACAACCTAGACTTTCTTATTACACGATCAGATAATTCTAACTCTGTACTTTATGCATATTTATGATTGCTTAGCCTTTATTCCTTCACTAGAGTCCTTCTTTGTTTGCACCCTCCTCATCCCAGAAATTCTCAGCATCCTGGAATACTCTTCATACGCCATCTAATGGTCAAAGGGAAATGCATTCAGTACCAATATCTCCAGGAAGAAAAATATTGGCAAAGAGATGCCAGACTGACGGCGGCAGCAGCTGGCTACATTCTCACTTATTTACACCTGAGGTGAAGGACTTGAGCTCCGATGCTACAGCACCAGGTCACACATGCTCCAGAGGGAGTCTTGTTCAATCTTGTTTCCTATGAAGTAGCGTACTGTGGATATTCACAGCAAGCATCCCTGTAGCAGCCAGAGCAGTTAGCCTTTTGTTTCTAAAGATGCTTTGACTGATAATCAAGTTTCTTTCTCACTCCTCTGCAAGTTAGTAGACTATTATTTTACCTACCAAAGGCCCCAGCAGAGCAGGAGGGGAGATGGTGGGAAAGAAGAACAAAGAAGCTACTGTCATGGGGGAAATGGAGGAGGATTGGAAGAAAGAGAAATGTAGAACATGGAGGTGGCATGTCGCTGGCGACGGCTCAAAGGCCAAGTAAAGCCTAATTACAGTAAAAGCAAAGCTAGAGTAGCAGGGCTCCATCCTGAAAGAAAGCAAAGGGGGTGGTCTCACAGCACCTTGCCTAGCACTGAAATCACACTCCCTGCCTCTCCCTAGGTGGCAGAATGACTGCTTCACGTAAGACAGAAGATCATGATAGTATTCAGCTGCCCTCTTGTGAACAGAATGTGCATACACACGCCATTAGCTGTCATACAGTACAAAAGGAAGAACACATTGAAAATGGTCAAGGTTACAGAAGTGACTACAGTAAGGGTCCCTCAATGCTGCGTGGGTGCCACAGCCAGAGTTGCTGCCCATTTGGTTCTGGTCACCGCTGGCGCCCAGCACTGGTGGAAAATTAGAGGAAATACTGGACTACAGTAATTCCCTCTCAGAATTGCAGAGATGGAAATCCTACTGAGTCCATCTGTTTCGGTGGCATTTTGTTTTCTTTCTTCCCAAATGCTCAAAATGGTATTTCCGAGGTCACAAAACCTTGTCTGTAGCAAACATGTTATGGGATTAGTTCACAAAACAAAACAAACCAGCAGGCTCTGTTCACAAAAAGCAATTGTTTCTATTTGATGGGTCATGTGTAATTAGCTCTCTTTTCTACATCAGACCCAAAACCTTTTGACTTAATGCTTTGTTTCCTGTGGCTGTGATTCTGTTCCAAGAAATCATGCAGCCTTTTGTAGAAACCAGCCAGCAAAACTGTGTTGTGGAATTTACTGTATCATCTAAAAAAACAATATAAACCACTACACACATTGTCTACCATCATCTTCTGAATAGTCTTCTTGACATCTTGGACCCTCTTGCCCTTGAATCCATCCACAAGCATTATCTGTAAAGGGAAGTAATTGCAGAGGTTACAGTTCTTTTCAAGGTATTTCAGGTCTGGGTGGAATAGTTCATATCATTTCCTTTTCTTCCCAGAAGATTGCTTAAAACTCTCCATTCAGAAACTCACCTAAACCCTATAATTATTAATAGGTGATAACGTTTTTAAAATCCTGATCCCTTAACCCATTGACCTCAAAAGATCATAGATGATGTGGAAAAGGAACAGGGACCTTGCAAGGCTTGCTCAATTCACTTTGCACTCTGATATGGGACCTGCAAGGAATCGCCTTACCTGCCCATCCCTGCAATTCTTTCAGATCTGGATTTAATGTGCCCAAGACACAGATTTCCCATCCCTTTACCTGCATTGTTGACACCGTGTCCAATTACACACTCCTTCAGTCCAGGAAGGAGTTGGTGTTATATCCCCTTGCATGTCATCCAAGATATAATCCTGGCCATCCAGATATTCCGGATCACGCCCCCTTCTATTCCTTCTCAGAGGCCATATGACAACTAGGGCTGGAGGGAGTTGGGAGATAAAAACATCTGCAAAATCAACAACTCTCCAGAGTAATTAATCAACAGGGCCCTGGCCTTTTTATACTTTGCTACGTTCTTAACACTATCATATTCTAGACCCAACAACTGAAACGGGACCCAACCAACAAAATCACCAAACAAACAACCATGCTGATCAGGAGTTCCTCCCTGCACCCCAACATCCTACAATGAATCTGCAAGACAGAAGCTCTCCCACCAAGACTATATGGACTCCCCAAAATCCACAAGGACTCTATCCCACTCAGACCCATTCTAAGTGCCATCGGCTCCCCAACATAGGAATTAACAAAATGCCTAGCCACCCTCCTACAGACCCACATTGGACAAACCTCGTCCTACATCAAAGACTCAGGACATTTCATAAGCAAGATCAGCATCCTAAAACTCAACCCCAGGGACAGACTGATCAGCTTTGACGTAGTATCCCTATTCATCAAGGTACCGATAAAGGACACTCTGACACTCATCTAGCAGATCTTTCCAGAAGACATCAAGGCCCTTTTCCAACACTGCCTAACGACCAGCTACTTTCAGTGGGATACTTTATCATAAGCCTTAACTATACAGCACTCCTCAAACCAACTGGAGATGTGTCCCATTAAAATTGTTTCCTTTTCACTTAAAATTTTATTTTGCTTTCTCTATCTAGCCAAGTATTGGTGTTAGTGGGTTCAAAGAAGGCAGCTCATAACTTTTATTTTAAAAAAAGAAGAAAATGCCTAGCTCTATACATGCTACATTTATAGAGCAACTCCGGGAGGCAGTGGAAGACAGGAGGGCCTGGCATGCTCTAGTCCATGGGGTCACAAAGAGTTGGAAATGACTAAACAACATCAACAACAATACATGCTACAACCTGAAAGCTACATCTCCAAATATCTCCCACTTATTCATACATATACAGATTAATTAAGAGACTGAAGGAGAACAAGGTGCATCAGGAAGAACTGTATTTCACAGAACACACCATGAGGTCTATACTACATGAGGCTGTGGAGCCCTCTATGGTCACAAACCAAATAAATCTTCCAACAAAATTACTTTTCACCTCTGCTTGGAAAAGCAGCACTAAACGTACACATCTCTCACCACCCCAGTCAAGTAGTTTTCTTCTCTACCTTTTGTCAGGAGGAAGAAAGGGGCGGTGTGTGCAAAACAATCATGGAAGCTCTCTCCTAAGTGCTTTGTGAATATGTTAACTTCAACTCACCCCTTCATAAAATCCTTTCAGGTACAGTTTCTCTTTGGCTTCTGCAAGTTTTTCTCTGTCATTCTGACTCTGGATTTTCAGCTCATCACAGACCAATGGGGCAGAAAGGCTGCCGTAGCCTGGGATCTCAATGATGGGCACCTAGGAATATACAGCAGTCAGACAAAGCAGTTGTTCTCCACCATGTAAGTCCATCAAAAGCCATGAAGGGAATGCTGTCCTATCCCTGTGCCTTCTAAAGAAAAGCCATCTGTATTCTATCACTCATCAACCGCACCTGTCTTACTTAGAGACCAATGGAATGCAAATGTGCACATGAGAAAGGTGAAACCAAGCCTCTTAATTCCACCCAACGACAGCAATATAAAACCTGCAGGATGAATAGCTATAATGCATGCATCAATTTGGGACCTGCTTTTTTTTGAGGGGGGGGGCAGAAGGTTTGTTAACCATTTTATTTTTAAAAAATTGATTATACACTTGGTGAGGCAATCAATATTTGGTGTGGTGACCACATGCACGCTTTCAGAAATTATCCAAGAACTAGGTAAGTTCAATTCTTAATCTTACTTCTAAAGCACCACTACCTGGTCTTTGCCTGCACTACAGGTAAGAAACACCAAAAGATTGGAGAAAAGCAATGCTTCAGATCAGACACAACCACTCGACTTTCAGTTGCCACTGCAGAGCTTAATTTAAAGACCCAACTGGCCAGGCTTCCCCCCTGCCCTGCAGTCTTCTTCATGGACTAAATCAGACTAAAGGGATCCAGAACAATCCTTAGATTGCGGCCAGTAATACTATGGATGAAAGCTTTTGCCTGCTTAAAAGCAGAAGAGCAAATTAGGACTACGGTGGATGAGAAATCATTGTCAAAGCAATTCCCCTAATAAAATCTAAGGTGCAGGTGACAAGAAGGATGAATGATCATTACACCTGAAAACTATACTTTGATGGGCTTTCAGGAGAAATTTCCCACTCAGTAATAATTGACTGCAAGAAGCCAGTATGTCAAACAGAGCACAATCTGGATTGCCGGGATGGCCTTTCAAAACTAAATCGACTGAAAGTGCCAAGTTCAGTCCAGGTTGTTTCTGTAGGCTCCTGTTTTCAGACTCTAGTGATTATTTACCAAACAAAACTGAGACACAAGAAGGAATTATATGTGATTGTCAGAAGAGGTCAAGTCCTCAGCCTGTGTTTGCTGGCCACCGGATGCAGCAAGGTCTCCTTTCCATACTAAAGATGCAGCGTGAATTCCTACACTATTCTTCTCAGCCACAACCTGGCCAAGAGCTGGACAGACTGTGGCCCTCTTGGTGCTGCTACACTCCAGTTGCAATTAGTTCCATCCAGACTGACTAATAGTCAATGACCCCAGGAGTGATAATTCACCAACGTTTGGTTGGGGGGGAGGAACAGCCTCCCCACATCTGTCCCAATCCTTCTAAGAACAGCTCTTGAAAGCTAAAGTTTACATCTGAAATCTATTAGGGGAAAGATCAGCACCTGTGCCTATATGTATGGAATCTGAAGATTCTGTTCAACATTGGGAAGCTGTTCAGCACAGACAAGCACATCTGCTGAGAATGATACAGGTGATCAGCGTGAAAGTTTAGGGCAACTGCTCTCCACTGCACTTACTGGTTCAAAGGGCAGGACCATTTCATCTTTTATCCCATATTTTACTCTCAAAGCCTAGAAAGAAGTGAGAAACAAAAGATAAGAATCAACAACCTCACATGGAAAGATGTTTTTGTTCCTCCAGGTTAAAACAGGTAGGTAAACCAATGAAACATTTGACCAAGTCAAAATGTGCACGCTTAAATGAAGTATAAGTGATTTTATTTAAATATAAGCCCTCCTAAAAACTGCAGATGGCAAACATCATCTGAGGGGGGAAAGACAGACATTTCCCACCCAAGCCACAGAGCAGAGGGAAAAATGATGCTTCCAGCAGGATCCCTGCCATCAAAACAAGGATGCTTTTTGCCACAGAACAACTGTGTTCTTTTATTCTCATGTAAATAAATGCAAAGATAGTAGATTCCCCTCTCAAGTAACGAGCAGCCTCTAGTTATTTTGCACTACAACTCCCACAAATTTCAGCCAACATGGTGAACAGTCAGGACTTCTGGGAGTTGCAGAAAAATGTCTGGGAGGCACCAGATTGCCTACAAGTCTGCATATGATACAGACAGATGTGATGCAACAGAATCGGTTGCTGGTCACTCAAACCGAAGTCCTGTATTTCTTGGAGCACCACAGGTTCCTCATCTCTGCTTTGAACATGACAGCAAGAGTTATTTTTGCATGGGTTCCTCCCATAGCACTAGTATGAATATGCAAAGCTAGGGTACAAAACATGTGACCATCAGGATGTTGCTGCGCTACAATTACCAACATCCTTCACCTTTGGCCATGATAATCTTAGAACTGCAGAGCTGGACCCTACAGACCATTGGGTCCTGCCCCTCTCAAGGAGATCCAGTAGGGAATCGAACTCCCAACCTCTGGCTTTCCGGCAGTTGATGTCTAAGATTTGTGGGACCTGCAGTCCAGCAACATCCACAGGCCCACATGTTTTCCCACACTAGATTTTAAAAGGCTCCCTCAAAAAGGCCCTTCTCCACCTGATCATCCCCCTCAAGCCTAGCTGACAAGTCCAACAGAAATATGTGAACTAATGAGCAATACTGTGTGAATCTCTTTTCTGCCGCACCCAAGAGAAAAGCAGCTCCCACATCACAGTTTCAACCAGAGATGTGCAGATCTGTGTTCTTGCACTACAACCCCTGGAATTCCTGAAGTAGCATGGTCACTGGCATGTGGGGAGTTGCACCCCAAAAAGACAGATCTGTACACTTCTACTCCCAACATGTAAAGCAGGGACACTTCTGTTGGACTGCAACCTCCATCATCTCTTGTCATGAATTATGCCGGCTAGGTTTCATGGGAATCTTAGTCCAACCACACCAGAAGGCTACATATTTCCCACAACAGAATGAAACCATATTCATTCCAGAGGATGTTTTTTAAACATCAGTTTGGCATTAGCCTTATTTCACAATTGCCCAAGAAATGGAACTGATCTGACCAGACACTGACCAAAGTTATGCAGTCGACATTCAAGCTATAAAACACCCAAGTCTTTATCCATAGTACAGTTAAAAGGAAAAGCTTGTGCTGGTTTCATTGCATTCTCCGTGTGTTTACTTACCAGCTGCCAACAAATGAAACATTCACAGGCTATAGAGACTCACCTGCTTTTTCTTTAAGTCCCTCAGGGCTGCAATGTCATCTGGGGAATCAGAGGGGACACATGCCACTATCCCAGTACCTTACAAGCGAAATTCAGGAAGCACAGGTTATCCCATTTGTATCATGATGGCACAAGGTGTGCTAAAAACACCAAGCTAGGTGCAGCTTTTCTAACAGGTTTCTAGCTATGAGATATCTCCAGCTGGCTTATGTAAACACAGAAGTAAACCAGAAAACAGCAGAGGGAACAGGTAGCTGCATCCTTAGCTTTTTTTTTTCACAGCTAACTATAACTCCACTTTTGATGTAGCTCTGAAGCTACACTATAGTCCTAAACAGGTGTGGACTCATGTTAAAGAGCAATATATGGGACTGTGGGATAATGGAATAAACCCTCCCCCGGTCCGGGGCATTCCTGTAGTAGAGAATCTTTTCCATCTGCAGTAGCTCCCAATATATTTTAGAAAATCAACACTCAAAATTGTGCAGGAAGCTTCACCGTACAGCAGAAGCTCCCTATTACAGAGATTATTCCTCAACATGGAAGAGGCTTGGGGGAGTCACATGATACCAGAGATGGAACTTAACAGACAGAAATCCACTGACCCTTTTCTTGCATATTACTTCTTCACGTGCATAACACCAGCAGTGGGCAACATATGGCTGAAAGTCGGCTGGGTGCAGTTCACCTGTGCATTAGGAATGGCATCAGCAGCAGTGGCAAGAGATTGCTGCTGATTAAAAGCTTCCTTTTGCTAGTTCAGAGTGCGCACAAGTTTGTTGCATTGTGTATGAGCCATGTATACCTTAAAATCACAAAGGGGAGACTTCAATCAGCAGCAATCTGCGACTGATATCATTCCTGCTGTGCAGGCGAAGGACTTCAGGCAGTCACTGCAAGCAGGTACTTCCATGTATCTTGGACCTTTCCTGATAAAAACTGACTGCTATCAGCTTCCTCTCTGATATCCCAATGCAAAAGCAGAACCAGAGACGAAGCAGCTTCATGGATTATTTGGTTGGAGTTCACTAAGTATGACTAGTGGTTCTACCCAGTAAAAGAACAAGAGGAAGCAAGTGCACTTAGAGACCAGGGTGGATGAAGACTCTTCAGATGTTGCTGGACTATAATCTCCATCAACCCTAGTTAGCAAAACCAATGGTGAGGAATGCTGAATTTGCAGGCCGCGAAATGTTTGTAGTGGGATTCCAATAAATACAATGAAAATTAGGCAGAGAAATTTTCACTTTGCCAGTCAGGAAGATGTGTAACAGACTTATAGGGAGACCAATAGTTCAGCCTTTATGGCTTTCCCCCTTAAGGTAGAATAACCCAGCCATCATCCATCCCTAAGCCATTCTGTGGAATCTAAAACTATAGGAGTCACTATGGAAAAGCAGTTGTGAAACAGATCTCTTGAACTACCATTAAAGAGAAAAACTTTCAGCACAGCTTATGCACAAAACTGAAACAGACAGAAATCAACAAGCAGCTACTTTACCTTTGTCTTCCTTAATAGTCAACATGGGAAGTGCATAGATTATTTTGTACGATGTCAGAGGGGCGGAGATTGCAGCTCCAAGGATTTCCTACACAAAAAGAGAAATATGGCAGCAACACATGAGATACTGGATCACTTGCAAATGATCACGAACAAACACACTGGGACAAAACACTGCCGGATAATGTAGATATTGTATCCTGATTGCATATATGGGTGTGGGGTGGTTTTTGTTTTGTTTTGTTTGCTTAAAAACATATATAATCGTATGAGGCTTTCCAATCTTTAAACAGATGCTATTTCTAAGTACTTGCAAATAAACAATAAATTAGGAAAAGCAACAAAGCCTTGGACCTCAGATCACCACACAAACTGATGAGGTTGAGGAAATCTCTGCTTCCTCTCTGCATCCAAATGCACTCCCCCAGGAGGTATTGCATCAAGAATTGCTCAAGAGCAGAGAGCAGCACACAAGGTGCAGGAAAGGGGGACAGAAAAGCCCCAGTGCTTTTCATTTCATCTTGCATACAGTTTGAGTCCAAGCCACAGTTATACTGGAAGGGCTTCTATTTGGAAGGATAGCCAGAAATATTTCACTATTTTTAGTGCTATGAGAAATGGCTAAATGATGTAGGAAAAAATACTGTGGAAGGCAGATAGATCAGATCAGGACAGCTCGGACCACAATACAGCTGCAGGAGCAAAATAAAGCACCAAATGGCAGATTTTGTCCTATTCAGTTTTTACACAGTGCCATGTCTTAGCATGTTCTTTCTCTTTAACAACACGGACACTGGTTTTAGGAGTGAATGCACTGATTCACCAGTGCTATGGATCGAATGCATGAGAGTGGGAATTGGAGATTAGCCCTGGCCTCATATACTAGTGGACATGCAGAGTTAAGCATGCCTCAAAGTTTATCTGCCACTATGCAGGCCTAGCCTCTCAGGAAATCACTTTGGTCCTAGATTACCGGACACTCACCTCTCCCATTAGCTCTTTCACAACAGGCACAACTCCATTGGTTTTAGTGATGCCTTGGTAGGCCATATTCCTGGCAGCTCTCTGAGTGCAAATAAAAATATCCCCATTCAGGGTCTCAAAGCCAATGTACTTCATATCAGGGCGAACCCAGCAGTTTGTCTGCCCAAACATGGTCTCTGGTCTGAGGGTGGCAGCTACCAAAAAGATATTCTTTCCTTTAAGTCCACTGTGCAAAGAAGAAGTAAAATGATCTAGAAAACATACTTTACAACACAAGCAATAAAATCCAAGAGGCTGCCTACATACTACAAATTCTGCAACCTAGTGCGAGTATTCATTCAAGACTCTTATAAACAACATTAGAAGTTTGTGCATTTCTTTGTTCCAAAGAACTTGGAAATTGTAATGTGAAACGATTACACGCAGAAACATAAAATTTTGCAGGTACTACTGAGCTGACAACTCAAAAAAAATTTGGCAAGGCTGGTTTCCCAATTTGGCAAGACCTAGAAACATGAAATCTGGCACACCTACTCCAAATTTCCTAACTTAATTAACTGGGTAGGGTACATCTTGAAAGTGGTTCCTACCACAACATTTTTGTTTGTATTTCAGCTCTCTGAAATGATAAAGAGAAATACAAACCTTGTACAGATGCTACTAAGGTCCCAATGTAAACATCTGGACATTTGTTCCTCTAGAGCAGTGCTTCCCAACCTTGGGTCCCCAGATGTTCTTGGACTAAAACTCCAAGAAATCCTGACCAGCACAGCTCAGGGCAAAGGCTTCTGAGAGTTTTAGACGAAAAACATCTGGGAACTTAAGGGTGGGAACCACTGCTCTAAGCCCTAGTTGGGCTCAATGAGAATTAGCCTTCAGTAATTCCCAATCATAGGCTTTAATGGACATATCTGGTAAGGCAGCACAAGTTGATTAAGTGCCAGGGTGGAAAGAGACAGAGAACTACCAAAAAGAAGAAAGGGTGGAGAACACCAGGGTAAATTTGGGACTGATTGGGTTTTTTTACCTAGATGAAGCCACATACATCTGTGAGCGAGTGTGTGCAGAAACATGTATACAGTGGTGCCTCGCTAGACGATGATAATCCATTCCACTCAAATCGCTGTTTAGCGAAATCATTGTCTAGCAAAAAGCATGTACATGCCTTTGCTTACTAATAAATATACTCAACTTTGATCTAGCTGATCTGGCAGCGGAACGATGACCTATTAGCCACTGATACTCCACATGATCAAATCCATATTAAGAGAGAAATCACAAAAACAACATGGTCTTCTCCCTACTTCAACTGTGCTGGTATTTTTCATTGCCATTTATTTAGCACAATTTAACTTCCAATTATATATCTTCCAATAGGATGCATTTTCCATGAAAACTACAAGTTGCCAACCCAGTATCCTAATATTACACAAGAGTGTTGTACAGCTGTGAGACTTCCCTCCATTCTATAATTACTGCTTAAATCATTTCCAACCACACCTATCCTAATGAGCACCAGTGTAGTGTAAAATCGTAATTAAAATGATGAAGCACATAACCGCAACAAAACAACAAAGCACCGAATACAAAACAGAGCCAGCTACTTCAAAATTCTAGATAAATGAAGTTTTGAGCTGGTGCCAAAAGAACTGCAGGGCGTGCATGAGTTACATTTCCACAGGACTCGGAAGACAGAGGGAAGTGAAAGAAAATTTATACAATATGTTCTGCAAGTAAAAAGAAGCTAATACATCACATTCACTTTAAAGAGAGAAAAATAATTTGACATTTAGCCAGTTTCTCCCCATACAATCTAGCAAGTTTTTCTACCACTGTTTTTTCCCCTATGCTGAGTATCAATAATTACCACAGCAACCTACCTTAACTTCACAGGATATGGCTCCACCACCTTCAGTTTGATTAGAGTGTATTCTTGAGGTCCAACACCCTAAGTACCAATACAAAGACTATTACTACACCACTCTGCATCTTACTCTTCTGAACTATTCAGAGTTTGATCAGATGTCCTAAATCAGGACATGTAGACCAGGTTTGAATCAAAGCTCAATGTATTATTTATTTATTTGATTTGTCTCCCGCCTATCTGGCCATTGTGACCACTCCAGGGGTGGGCAGGAGGAATACAAAAGGCTCCATAAAGCAGTGAGGCCTTACTGACTGAAGTCTGTTCATCAACAATGAAGCCATTTCAGGTTAATTACATCTCCAACATTTATTCAACAAGATGAGTGAGGTTGTGGCGAGAAATCTGGTAGAAACCATGCAACCTACCCCTTATACAGATGCAGTGACCAAAATACAAACCGCACGTTACAAGCCACAGTTTCCCAAGCTATTCCACTGAATCCATATCTAGATCCAATCCATTATGTGTTTTATCGTTTTCAGTTCAGGGGCCTTAAGTTATTAGAATTAAATATACTAGAATCATTAATTACCTCTCCTGTCTGTCTGTCATGATCCATGCATGGTTGTCCATCTTTTGGTGAATAAATAGTGTATCTAAAGAATAAATCAATGCATTACTGAGGTCTGCATGCCAAAGACAGAGAAAACTCTTTGCATCTCACAGTCACCATATTCAACTTACAATTAGACTCACATAAGACCAGTCATTCCCAACTGCACAGAATAATTTCAGGAAAGCTACTGATTAGAAGGAAACCAAAAGGGTTTCTACCTTGGTTTCTACCACACAGAGTAAATGATCAAATGAGGCCACTCTACGCACTTAACGTAACACTGCTTTGCTTTGAACTGAACATTTTTGCATTCAACTTAGCCATTCAAGAAACAGCTGTACATCCTAGGCTCTCTGTGTGTCAGCACCTTTATAATTAATGATCTACTCATTTATCTGAATACAACCATTATTTACAATTGTGCTACATTGGGTCTGATCATGTAACCATTAAATTGCCTTTATTTTAATTACCTTGTTTTAACCAAGTCAAGCATGATATAAATCATTCCTGGGATCACTAATTGAAAACTTAAAAAGTGTATTGGTAAACTCTCAAATTCCAGAGACCAAAGAAACTCATTGAGAGTATATTCAGGAGCTCAGAGATCACACACAAGCTAGATTTAAAGAACAGCACAAACATCTAGGCCTTCAGTGCACCCTCACATTTCACAGAACAGACACATCAAGGAAATATACTTGCCGTTTTCCAAATTTAATTTTATTTCTTTCTCTCAGGGTTAGAAACTGCCACCGTACAAAGGAGTCATAATAGGGGTTGACATCCGTAGTAATAAAGGAACGCCTCCAATCCACCTGAAAATTCATAAAAAAAGAATTAAACTGCACCAGGAGTGTGTGAACCACTCAGCAGGCCAGAGTCCAAGAGAACTGTGAAGAGAGTCCCATGCGCCAAGGAGGTTGTAGATCTCAATTTCTTCAAGAGCAATTGCACACACAAACCCCAATGTTGCATATATCAATAGCAAATGGCTGCTAATACAGAGCTGGAAAATGGGCAGCCTTCCAGACCACAACTCCTATGATCCCTCAGAACAGGCAGCACTAGATAAAGGTAATGGAGCTGTAGTCCAAGAACATCTAGAAGGCCACATCCCCCAACACTACTTTAAAATCCTGAGAATTTTAGAAGTAGAACATGTCATATCCAGGCGTCACCCATTCAATGGGTAAATATATTGTAACAGGGCTAGCACAAATCTTTTCAGTAAGCCTAAACAAAACACAACATTTTAGCAATAACTAGTGCCCTATTAAAATCTCTTTGTTCAAAACAATTTGTGCTCTAAGAAAAATGAAACATGAATGTGCAGATATACATACAGTATTTAGGAAATGTTCGTGCACATCATTCTGAGGTACAGAACCAAATTATTTTAAATTTTCTACTACTACAGCATACTAGAAAAATGAACAGAAAGAGGAAAGAAATACCTAACCATCACAGTTAAGACAAACCTTTGTTTTCAAGAATAGTTGAGAAGGAACAAGTACCTTTAATCCCATACTCTTTAAATCCTGAATGGCCAGTGGTGGGAAGTAATCAAGCCAATGCTCAGCCTCAGCAAACTTCATTATTTCTTCATCCGAGAGTCCTAAAGATTTCATGATTCCCCACTGGTATTTTGAAGAGTCCTTCTTAGCAAGGGCCTTACTCTTTTCAAAAAAATGAGAGGGAGAAAAGTCAGTGTCTAGCAGCCTAAATGTGAGAGCTCTGTCAATCTTGAGAAAAATAACCAAAGGGATGTAAAAAAATGGAAGCTGAACAAGGCCGTTATAGTTTTCACATTTAAGAACGACATACAGAAGCACACAGCTGAATTTCAAAGATGCAAATCATGTCCCAAGAGCCATGTGTGTCTCCCTCTCCAGTTCACTGGATAAGTAGAAAGAGAGGCAAAGGAAAGAGAGTGGCCAGAGAGGGGGGGGGGAGAATATGCTCACTATCAGAATATGCCCTCTCTTGAATATGCCCAGAGGAATGAAGCTCAACTGGGGAAAAAAAGGTTCCCTCTCCCTGCTTCAAGCGGTACCCTTTTGCCTTTAGCCTTTTCTTTGATGACCACTTCTTCCCCCTTTGGTTCCTCCTCGTCATCTTCCTCTTCATCCGGGAATTCTGGTGGACAGCCATACAGTTCCATTTCTCTTTTCAATTTATCCGCACATGCCTAGAAGTAAATCCACAGAGGCCCAGAAACTGCAGTTAGGACAATGATGCATGCAGACAGCGGTTAGAATCAATTTAGCAATTGCCAGCCTGGACCTAAACCCATCTAGAAGTCTCACCTAGAGCAAAACCACTGAATTTGTGGGATTCAATTATTTACCGTTATGTCGCTTGTTTAGTGGGTTTACTCATGTTGCAACTAGCAAGTGGATTCAGGCCTGGGTGCCTTATTGCTTTTCTATGGCAACATTTGAAATTGATAGTGCTGATGAAGCAATCTGGTTGACTGATTTATAGAGAGGGATAAACAACAACAAAAAAAAAACAAGGAAAGTGCCCTACTTATATACTGCCTCATAGCACAAAACACTCATTGGACAGTTTACAAGTTAATCACGCAGGCTACACAGATTCAGGCCTGGGTGCCTTATTGCTTTTCTATGGCAACATTTGAAATTGATAGTGCTGATGAAGCAATCTGGTTGACTGATTTATAGAGAGGGATAAACAACAACAAAAAAAAAACAAGGAAAGTGCCCTACTTATATACTGCCTCATAGCACAAAACACTCATTGGACAGTTTACAAGTTAATCACGCAGGCTACACATTGCCTCTCCACCCCATAGCACAAAACACTCTTTGGACAGTTTACAAGTTAATCACGCAGGCTACACATTGCCTCTCCCCCCTCCCCTCAGCTAGTTGGGTACTCATTCTACCGACCTTAGAAGGATAGAAGGCTAAGTAAACCTTCAGCTGACTATCAGGGATAGAACCCCAGGGTCATGAGCACAGTTTTGGCTGCAGTACCGCAGTTTAACCACTGCGCCAAGAGAAACATCCTTCAAAACAAGGATTTTTATTTTCAGCTACTAGAGAAGACAACAGGGTGGATCTAGCCTTCTACTCTACACTCCCACCATAAGTAGAAACTGCAGAGACAGATGAAAGGAAATCTCACTTGACACAGCTGAAGTATGGACAACAACCTAACCCTTTAAGCAAGCAATTTATAGAAACCTAGACACGGCAGCAACTGTTATGCTGTTCACATCACCACTGACAGATGCAGCAGAGAATCAGTTTACTAAACAAGAAATTCCTAAGCTTTCACTATAACACAAAAGAATCTCCACCTACCACACTTGTAGGATTTCCAAATCTAAAATACAGCAGACATACCACTTTACTTCCAAACCCACAATTATACCTTAATAGGCATGCCAGTACAGTGTAGTCCAAAGGGGAATAGGCAGTTTTTTCCTTTCAGCTTCTGGTACCCAATTGAAAACTGTAGGAAGAATGAAAACCCAGACAGACATCAAACAGTATGACAGAATGGGAGGAAGGGTGAACAATGGTTGAAATCCTGTTGCTTATTGTAGTATTCTGCCCTAGAGCAGGCCCATTGAATCAACAGAGATTTGGAAAGTGAACTCTTCCATATGTTCCTGTGATTCAATTGGGCATACTCTTAACTGCAATTTACTTTAGTACAGTAAGTCAGTTAGAGTATACCCATCTGAATCAATAAAACGTACAGAGGAGTTGACTCACCAAATCCTCTGTGATTCAATGGGATTGTTCTAGTGCAATTTCCTATAGTGAGCAACAGAATTCTGGCCAATGAATAGGTAACTTCGAAGGATCAGGAATTGATTGTACTCAGTATTGGAAACTGGAATACTTCAGTGCCAGATATCAGAATACCTGGCTTAAAGAACTACTCAGTATAGAATTCTGAAAGAATTGCAGTCACATCATTCATTCCAACATCTTTACAACACAGAATGTAAAAGCAGTTCCACAGTATTTACTGCACAATTCCAGGGCTGCTCAGAGGTAAGTTCCACCGAAGCAAGCATATTATAAACTGCTGCCTTAAATGTTCTGTCTACTCCCCATTAAAAGCTGTAGACTCAGAACATTTTGGGCACATTTTCGAATATCAGCTGATCTGCCTGAAACTGACCAACTTTAACAAAATGTTGCCACTACCTAACAAAGAGAAGCCCAAGTAAAAATGTATTCCATTTGCTCTGAAGGCTGGATTAAGTGAATCTGTCAGTTGTGGCATGATCACTGAGGATGCCTGATGATATGCCAAAGCTACTTGTATGGATGGATGGATGGATGACTTTCTGTCCTAAGTTTCAACATTCTCATAAACAATTTCTCTTTTACAGAACTGCTTCTACCAAAGTATATATTTCGGTAGTTCCCTCTCAGTTATTCTGATCAGTTTATAAGATCTTTTTAATTTTTGTTGATAATTGGCTGAGACAGGTTTTAGGCAATTGGGCTGAACTCATTTTAGGTGGCTTTCTGAATTTTAAATGTTTGCATTTTATTATTAGTGTGCTACTGTGCTGATTCTGAACGATACACAAGCCGCCTAGAGGTCCCTAACAAAAACATAATTAAATTACAAGACCCCAGACAGCAATCCAAACTAAGAATACTGTCCAATTACTCTAAATTGTATGCACTATTTGTACGTAACATGAATGCATTATCATTTTCAACACATAAAATCATCATTATATGCATGTGTACATACATGCTTAGAATGCAGTACATTCACAAAACAGAACACAGGGGAGGATTTTATACTTTAAGAAAACTATTGTGTTCTGAATATGGTTTCACATGTATATACCTTTGATTCTATGTACTATAATCTGACTTCATGAATTGTATTTTAAAAAAACTGGCACCTCTGAATAAAGGCTAGACTACACCACTACCACCACAACCACAACCACCACCACGGCTGTTAAGTTTCCTGTGGAGGAAGTCACTTTGTACTGAGGTGCATTCAGCCATGAGAATGCCAAAGCAATAAAGGCAGACACAGATTCATCACCTCTGTGAGAACAAGGCAGGTTTGCAATGGATTTTAAATCCATTTTAACCAGGAAGAGGTGGGCTCTGAGGTAAACGGAGACCAAAATATTTACAGCAAAAGACCAAGAGGAAGCCATTAAACAAAGCCATAGGACATTCTTTGGTTGTTTCCACATCTACACATGTGGTGCTTCATTTTTCTTTGAACTAAAAGATCTGTGGGCTAAAACAGAGAGGATACAAGGGATAATGCCTATTATTTCTGTAGTATGCTGTATGAAAATAGGTACTCAATAGATTCGACAGATGAAAACAATAACTCTCCCTCCCCGCTGGACAGACTTGTGAGAATGGCTAACAGAAAATTCTTACCTCACATTTAGATAAAGAAAATGTGTGTCCCAGATGAAGCCGGCCATTCATGTATGGATACGGAAAAGTGACAAAGTACTTCCCATTGCTGAGCAGAGATTACACAAAAATAAAAACACAAATCAACTCATTTTCAAAAGTAAAAGATAAGACAACAATCCTATATTACATTGCTCAAATTATGATACTGAAGTAGTTAAGGAAGATGTCTAATACAATCACAACAGTACATACACACAGAGGGACCCCTTCTCAAACAAATGCAGTGGCTCACATTTACAGATTTTAAAAGGTGATTTAAAAATAGTTATTTTTATTTATTTCCTACATTTATACCATACCTCTTTGAAAAACTGCACTCAAAGCAGATTACAAACTACAAATTAGGACTATCATCCAATTAAAGAACCATTAGCCAGTTAAACACTATTCCTGGTCAATAAAGTTTTTAGTTCTGCACATGCAGATCCATCAAAAATAAGCAAGATCCAAATTTGCATGAAGAGGCAATCATGACCAGTAGATTCACGGCTTCCCCTCCTTCCACCGAAAGTCTGTGTGGGGAGATCTTGGTTTGTGTCTTGCAGAGTTGCAACAAGAATGGGAAACAGTCAAAACCCAGTGCAACCAGAAGAGGACTCTTCTGCCCAACATACCCACCCCCACCCTGATATAGGCCCTCTCAAAACAATTCTATGCAGCCACTCCAACATCTCCTACTTGTGGCTACTAATGAGGAGCCCCATGTCACATTAGGAACTCGCACAACAGGACTTTCGCTTCTTTCCTCCAACTTCTCTGCAGGACTCAAAACCTCAGACCAAAGGTTCCCCCAGCTTCTCCAGAGCAGATTAGTAGGGGAAAGGGCCATAAGGTAGATGGGAAATATGTTCCACCAGAAGTATTCATATTTTATAGATGGACAGGCATGGGTAAACAAAACTGGAGATCTGCTACCTCACTGCCTTTTCTCAGTTGACTGGCAAAATGTAAAGCTGGTATAACAGTGATGTTGGACAGCAGAGTGTGAAACTGTACAGAAGGGTGTGATCTTTAATTTCAGTTTCACTCAGATCTCACTACAGCTTCCAGATTTTAACCTACGACCTTTCAAGACAGAATGACACAAATTTAAGACTCTAAGAGGAGCATACTTTTTTTTTTAATGCTCCAGTAGTTGGACCAGAGGACAAGATGGATGGACAGTGTCACTGAAACTACCAACATAAATTTGACCCAACTCCGGGAGGCAGTGGAAGACAGGAGGACCTGGCGTGCTCTGGTCCATGAGGTCACGAAGAGTTGGACACGACTAAACAACTAAACAACAAAGTTGAACTTCAGGAAATAAAGGAAAAAAACCTACATAAGGGGCTGCACTGGTTGGCTTAACGTTACTATTCTCTCACTGGGTTATGCCTTCTGATCTGACTACAGCCACCATGTTAAAACACATTTCTCTTTCAGAATGCAAAGGAAAAAAAAAGAACTGAAAAACAGTCTTTGCAACTTTCATGGTCACAATTAGTGATCACAATCATCCTACCTCTTAGGATATCAGTTTTTATTACTAAAATGTGTCAGTAGCCCAAAATGTTGCTTAACCCAGGAGTTGGTCAATTCATTGACCCATTTGATTCGTTCGTTCGTTTAGTCATTTAGTCGTGGCCGACTCTTCGTGACCCCATGAACCAGAGCATGCCAGGCCCTCCGATCCTCCACTGCCTCCCGTAGTTGTGTCAATTTCATGTTGGTTGCTTCGCAGACACTGTCCAGCCATCTCATCCTCTGTCGCCCCCTTCTCCTCTTGCCGTCACACTTTCCTAACATCAAGGTCTTTTCCAAGGAGTCTTCTCTTCTCATGAGATGGCCAAAGATGTTTGCTATTTCAGCAGACAGCTTGCCTGGCTTCAGACCATTCACATTAGGAATGCCTGGATGTTTTGTTGAGGCTTTTTTCCCCTCTGGAAAAAATACCAGATTCTGCCAATTTTCTACCAAAACAAACTTATACTTAATTTTGACAATGTATACAGACTTCTATTGCACATACAAAACATTCTGTGTGTCCTATAATACCATCCATGAGCACAGTACTATGCAGAAGATTAAAACCAAAAGCCATATACCTGATGCAAAACTAAGCTGATTTTCTACTGACATCAGCAATGTTTAAATCACCATCTTAAATGCTGGTTACACAGCCTGTTCAGATCTTTCCCCTCCATTTTTTCTGCAGTCTTTGTAAAGTATATTCCCACCTTTTTTGGCTTGCGGCATCTGATGCATTAATCTCAAATGCACCCTCATCATACCACTTCTGCTGGATATCCTTTTCAATCTTTTTCAGAAAGTCCACTTTGGCTGTCCCCTTTCGTTCCTTAAAACAGAACAGAATTCTATTATTAGAGTAGCTTGAACAGTTTGTAATGTCAACATAAACCTCCACTAAAATACTATAAGAGAACTCTCCTACTATAGGCAAACTAATATAGCATAACATTTAACTCCAACAGACTGGTCAACCGAAATTTTTCTTTAAGGCTACTACATGAAAAGAAGAGCAAGAGCTTTTATATGAAATCATATTGCACTTTTGTCTGCCCTCTTCTACAAGCTGAGATCAAACTTATTCTATTGAGATGATCAAGCCTGCAAAACGCTTTGGCCTGCAAGCCCTATAATGCATTAATTAGCTGTAACCACATTTTGGGAACTTACATTATCTAGCACAGTGGTTTCCAAACTTTTTCGATATGTGGCCCCTTTTATAATAACCAAGAAACTTGCGTGCTCCCCCAATCATGTTTGCATAAAAAGGCATTTTTAATGGGGTAAAATCATCACTTCTCAGAATGAGGGGTTTCTTCCTCAAAGGGCTTGTTTCTCATACATACACATGCACACTAATTTTAATATCCCACTCTGAAAGGTCAAGGAAGAAATTATTTAACATTTATTAAGGGCTACAACACATAAATTGACCCATGACACACACATCTGGAAAATACTTTGTGACACCCTTGGGGGTCACAGCCCCCAGGCTGAGAAACACAGAACTAGGAAATGGATGATATTCCAGTACAGGACGGGCAGGCTAATATTCCAGTACAGGACGGGCAGGCTAATATTCCAGTACAGGACGGGCAGGCCAATGACCAATTATGTAATAAGCAAGCAAGTAAACTTACTCAAATTGGGCAAATTACATGTAACAATAGGCACTAGCCTATATACTGTACAGTAGTTTGATGTTGAAGTTTGACGGCATTCATGATTTTGTACTGGGATTAAAAATGCTCTTTAAAAATGCAAGTCAAGTTTTGAAGGCGGCACCTGATTTCAACTTATACGGTATAGCCTATTCCATGCTATACAATGATCAAAAATGAAAACATCCACAATCCCTGTCTATACTGTTTTAAGTATGACATCTTCAAATACAAGGTGAGTAAATATGCACAACTGCATTAAATATTTAATATGGCATTAGACTTATAAAATGTTTTGCTTGGTAACTGCTATGCAAAACATTCTGTCCAAACACAATTAAGGAAGCTGCAGATCCCTAGAATTTTTATGAATGCTTAGACTGAGTGGCCATTTGCTTCTATTTCATCCTGGTCAAACAAGCCAGTTTGCATAATCCACTAGAGTGCATTCATCTCTAGAATATCCTGTTTCCTATTTTTTAAAAAAAATCAAAATTAGAAGATTTTATTATATATTTTTCTTTTCCATTGTTTCTTCAATAAATAACAGAAAAATCCATCTGAATAGTTGATACCAAACATAATCTAGCAAAAACAGGATGTCATTTAAAACTACTAAAACAACTGCCATGATTGATGGGTTGTGTAGAAGGATACTCCATTTATCTTAAGGATCAGAGCAGAGGTTAGAAAATGTCTATAACCCCAGTGTTGTACTGCTCCAAGAGACTGAACCACTCAGCTTCAGAGGTGAAGATAGTAGGTATTGCTCAGATCACAACACTGCCTTAGATTTTTCACAAAATAATTCATTTACCTACAACCCTGTAACTAAAGAGGGTACAAATACTGTAAGGACGCCATTACAATGAGAGCAAAACAGGACACCTATCAAAACTGTGGCATTTCAGTCCGTTCAGTCTCTTACTCCTATTAACTACCCTGCAATTATGCTAATCTATTAACATTCCAGCCCAGATTTCTGGTTTTTTATTTTTAAAAGCAAAAGATTTTAGCAAAAGGTACAGCTGAGAAGTTAACAGTAATGATGACCCGAAGTATTACTATTTCTACAGAAAGAGGGAAAGCAAGGGACTTCAAACATGCTACCACTTATGCTTGAAATCACATGCTCAGTGATTTGGTTAGAATATGTTTAAGTATGAGACATTCAGCACCAAGAAGTCAATCTGCATCATAGAAAATGACAATGCTGTTGACCTAAATTTGCACTCAGCAATCATATTTCAAACACACTGGCTGAAACCCACTAGTAATGTGCAACCAAAGGAGACCCATTGAATCAGTAGGGATTAGATAAATCAACTTCTCCATAAATTCCACTGATTCAATAAATCTAGTCTTGTTGCAATTTACTGGATTTCGGCCAGGCTATTAGTCAGATAATCTGAGTGTGTTTAAATTGGAAACCGAGGTGTTATACATGGCACAAGAACAATCTGACAGTTCTTTCAGGTTAGTGAAGCATAAAATTATGAGATCCAGCCTGTGATATTACCAGCTAATGAGACCAAGGACAGAATCAGGGAAATCTCACATCCACAGCCAGCATATCAGACTGAGTTCATCTGAAGTAGTCAACAGTACTTCACAGAGAAAGAGATGCACCACATGCAATAGTTGTCATTGTCACTTCATACAGACACCACTTGGATGTCATGGGAAACTTCTAAGGATAAATGATCAGAGAGATTACTCTAGTTGCAGCTTACTACTGGATTTCAGCCACTGGAAGCTTGCATAGCAAAAACAGAACACCTACTTAATGCAAACTATCTACCAATTCAGCTACTTAGAAAGCAATGGCAACATATATTTAAATGCTGCACGAAAACACCACATTTTGGTAAGGGATTGCACTGTTGTTATTTACCCCTCAGCTTGCTTAGTCACACAGACTATGAGAAAAAAAAATTGTGAAAAGTTGAATTCTAAGCCACAAAAATTTTCGCTACAAGAAGTGTATCTGTGTATGTAACAAGAAACATTGCTACAGTATTTATGCTCCTGAAACAGACCCTAGAAAAGGGCAACAAGAACACAGGGAAACAGCTCCCTTTCCAAAATAAAAAAGCAGAAATTCAGCAGGTGCACTCAGCAGCAGCCCATGCCACACAATAGTTAAAGGCACAATAATCGCACTGCTTACAAACACCCATTCCACGTCCCCATACACATGCATGCACAAGGATATGAAACTGATTCTTGGATGACACACAAAGCTGTCCTTCCACATCCTTCTAGCCCTTGTGCTGTTTAGCTGAACAGAGAATCCCACTTTCCCAGGGTGGCCAAAGCAAATGAAGAAAAGAGATCCTGTCTCGTTAATAATTACAAAGAAGAACCCATTTTATGAGGTAAAATCACACACACACCTGCATATCAGTCTTCATCTCATGAACAGGAATCTTGTCATTCTCTTTATTGACCTAGGATCACACCTAACATGATCCACTTTTCTACCAGATTCGCCCCACCAAAAAAAATAAGGCGATCCCTAACAAATACCATATTAGCCGAGAAGTGGAGAAGGAAACCCAGCTGGGACAAAGGAGAGTATAACTGGGTATTTTAGGAGCAGCTGAACTTCAAATAGGAATTATCAGAGTTCCCTGGGCATGAATGAAAACAAGCAACCAGGTCGTAGTATAGGGACTGCTAGGGTCAATCACAACACACACACCCCGACAAAACAAATTTCCTTTTATTGTCTCTGGCAAAGTGGGCTCCCGTCCAGGTGTGCCCAAGTCTGTGGGTCTTGTGGACACCAAGAGGCTCCTTCCTCGTTTCTGGCGCAACCGATTCCCATGGCCGCCCTGTCAAAAAAATATATATGCCATATGCCATTTAATGAGGAAGCATCCCACTCCCTTGGCTGGCAGAAGAGCCTGCTCGGCAATTAGACGTGGAAAGACCCAACGCTCCTAGGGCTCGCTGCCTGGAGCTCTTCCCGCAGCTGAGCCGAGCCTCAAGGATCCGACCGCCAGGCGTGGTTCCCTGGGGGCTGGAAAGGATTCCTGGGCGACTTACCGTCATGGCGCCTCGTCACCCCGGCGCCGGCCCCTGACAGCTGCTCGCTCTCGGCTGGTGCGTCCCCGTGTTCCTCCACGCTGCCGGTTCTCCCACAAGGCAACGATGGGGAAGGCGGAATCCGGTTCCTTCCCAGAGGCTCCTGGGAGGTGTAGTTCTCACGCCTCCGACGCTGCCGTCCGCGTGTTGGACTACAACTCCCGAAAAGCAAAGCCGATGGTGGGGGGGGGAGCGGTTCTTCTCACAGCGTGAGCTCCTGGAATAGAGGACTGCGGCTCCTATTACGCACAGGGCTGAATCGTCTCGGGTGTGCGGGAACGGGGTGTCCAAACTTTGGCTCTTCTCAGTTTCAGCCTGTGAGGGGAGAGGCCTATAATTCGCTGTCCACGACACTCGGCGCCTAGTGGGAAGGGACAGCTTGCATACAATAAATTGGGATTTTGTTCTTGCTCCCGAATACTGTATAGTGGTTCTGCCCTGGTTCCTCCGTTTAGTTTTAGCACTGAAACTTGGGCTACAGGAGGCCTTCGTGCTCGGTGTTGCTTCACCATAAACATTAGAGATACTTCGTATCATCAACTGCTGACTGCTTTCTCAGATACAATACATAAAATATGATCTTAATAAAAGATTTATAAACGTCATGAAGCGGCAAATTGACAGTGGGCAATTTGCTGTGATTCCCCTCCCTTGTTATGCCAATTCCATCAAATCCTGAGATTGAGGAGAAACTGGGTATGATTTAAGGAGATAAAAATATAGATATTGCTCATTGAATTTAGCCATGCAGTCATGTTTGGTTGTTACATATAAGCTCTGAAAGCAACTTTACTATCTGACATTAGTAGAAAAACTGAAGAAGCAGAAAATGGCTTCCACATCTTCCATGCTACATACAGTCCGGATTACATACATATACTATTAAAAATAGTACTGTACGTAAGTTGAAACCACAAGAAGACTTTGTGGGAAACTGTATCTCAATATAAAGATACTGTAACAAGGACGTGGTGGCACTGCAAAAGCCTCTCTGCTGCAAGGTCAAAAGCAGTCGTAAGATCGAATCCACGTGATGGAGTCCCAGCTCCTGCCAACTTAGCAGTTTGAAAGCATGTAAAAATGCGAGTAGATAAATAGGTACCACTTCAGTGGGAAAATAATGGCGTTCTGTTTCTAGTCGTGCTGGCCACATGACCATGGAAACTATCTATGGACAAATACTGGCTCTACGGCTTGGAGATGGGGATGAGCACTGCGCCCTAGAATCGGACACTACTGGACTAAATGTCAAGGGAAACCTTTACCTTTTTAACAGACAACTGGAAATTTTAAAAACAGCATAGGCGACAAGACATTGGCTCAGTTTATAAGTGATATCAATGTTCAATTTTAGTTACCCCGGATAACTAAAAAAATATTACAGTACTGTGCACTCTCAGCAATATATGCTTTTGCTCCTTAGCCAGGTGTGGCTTTTATACTTACAGAACACATTATTTAATATATCAGAGCAGTTTTTATTCATTATATATATTACAGTAACCCAGTATTTTTGCCTTTATTTGATAACCATTATTTAAAATAGTAATATGGGAATGTAGAATCAAATTATGACTACAAATATTCATGCTGCTGCATTATCTCACCACACACAGCAAGGTGTTCCAACTTGTGAGCTATAGCAGCTATGCTATATAGATTGGAATGACAAAAAAGTTGCAAATGAGAGCTCATCAGATATTAGATTACACCTTGAACGGCCTCTAGTTTTGCTGAGGAAAGCTATAATAGGCAATACATGTACCCTGTTTCTCTGAAAATAAGACCTAACCTGAAAATAAGCCCTTGTTTGATTTTTCAGGATGCTTGTAATATAAGCCCTATCCAAAAAATAAGCCCTAGTTAAGTGATGCCCTCCTTCCACCATTGTGCAGCAACCAGAAGAAGATGGCATGACTGTATTTGAATAAACGTAGATTGTACATGAAAAAAGTAAGATCCCCTGAAAATAAGCCCTAATGCATTTTTGGAACAACAATTAATATAAGACCCTGTCTTATTTTCGGGGAAGCATGGTGTAAATAAATGTATAATTTATAATTTTAGAACTATGAAGTTGGAAGGGACTTTATGGATCATTGAGTCCAGCTCCTATCAAGGAGGCCCAGTGTGGAATCGAAATCCCAACCTCTGGCTTTGCAGCCAGATGCCAGATGTATACAATAAATGTTGAAAATACAAGCAAATCAACTCCTCATATTTTTCTTATACTCTTTTCCTACCTGAGTTTAAAAAAATAAATGGCTTACAATTTAATGTCTAAAGTTACATGGGTGGCTCTATAAGAGAAAGTTTGGTTAAATATGTGTTTTTGTAAAATTACACTATCTCCCTGTCACACACACCTTCTTTGATTCTAAACTGTTTCAGTATGGCTTTCTATTGCTGTTTGGCTTTTACTATGTCCAGAGTGCTGTGAGCCATGTATTTGTGTGCAAACACATGCATGTATTTACCTTGCACATAGATATAATAGTTAGTCCCATAACTTCTGATGTTACTTCCAATCATACTGTTAGCAGTGATTTAATTTTTATCTTGTTTATTTATTTATTTATTTTATTTATTTATTGGACTTATATACCGCCCCATAGCGCTACAAGCACTCTCCGGGCGGTTTACAATTTTAATTATAAAGGCTACACATTGCCCCCCCAACTGCTGGGAGGCATTTCAGGGATATTATTTTTTTTCCAGCAGAGATATTGTTTCAGTGGAGAGGTGCTTTGATGCCACCTCAGGAGAGGAAATGGTGCTTGACTTGTAGATGTGGTGTCAGACAAAATAGCATGTGTCCACATGTATATTTACATGTGTCTACATGCTCTTTTGAAGGTGGAATCTATGTTGTATGACATAATCAGAGAGACTTGTTTAATGTTTGTTTAGTCAGAGTTGTATATATGTACAGGAGGAAGTCGAGCAGCTAGGTCAGTGAAATGCACAATTAAGAATAAGCCTGGGCTATAAAGGGGGGGACATGACTTTTGGCTTGTGGGTCCTGTAGTGCATTTAATGCTGTTCCCTCAGGAGGTACAGCAGTTTGGCCAACCAGTGTGCTGCTCTAAGCTCCCAAATTGTCCTGTTCTGCTCCTGTAATAATCCATGCTGCCAATTTCTCCTTTAGGAACCTAGGACTAAATTTCATACATTTTGGAATGCTCTGATTCTCAGTGCCCTCTGCAGGCATGGGCTTTTTCCCTGTGAGCAGATGCTGACTCAATTTTTTAAATGATTAGGTTGATTGCATACTTAGAAAATTCATGGTGATGCCCTCTCAATATCATATTTTCCATTATTGCATGCTATCGTGCTCGACCCTGTCTTAAATGCTGAGTAAGTGCTCACATAACAGTTACCTCTATATTTGGCTCAGATGACTATTGGCCTTATTTCAAAAATGCCATTGTTTGGGCTTTTGGGTGTGTGTGTGTGTGTGCGTTTGTGTCATGCATTAAAGTAATTGAAAAACATAATGGGGCAATGCCACCCTAAATATTTCCTGGAGACTACAAATTATAGTCCTGTGGATGCAAGCGTTTTGTACTGGCATCCATCACAAATAGTTCTGCTGGCTGTCTCAGTGGTATTGGAAGCTGGTTTTGTTGTGGCTGTTGTTTGGTGTGCGTTTTCTCTCTAGTCAGGGATTTGGGAAGCATTTGATGTTCTGGTTCCTCCTCCCCCCAGCAATGAATCTTTCCCCGGTATTTTATTGTTTTATCGTTTTATTTATGCAGCATGCCAATAAAGGTTTCTGTACTGTACTGTACTGTAATTTTTATCTTGTTTACTTTCCTTGCACAGTACTTACTGTCACTAGTTATCTTTAACAAGTAGTCTTATGGTAAGACTAATAAATATATAACATAAGACTTTCTTACACTACAGGTCATCTTGTTAAATGCCTTAAGTCTTATCACAAGTTGATACAGTGGACCCTCTACTTAAGGAATTAATCCGTATTGGAATGGTGGCTTTTTATCTTGTTTACTTTCCTTGCACAGTACTTACTGTCACTAGTTATCTTTAACAAGTAGTCTTATGGTAAGACTAATAAATATATAACATAAGACTTTCTTACACTACAGGTCATCTTGTTAAATGCCTTAAGTCTTATCACAAGTTGATACAGTGGACCCTCTACTTAAGGAATTAATCCGTATTGGAATGGTGGCTGCAAGTCGAAAAGTCTATAAGTCGAATCTCCATTGACCTACAATGCACTGAAAACCAATTAATCCCATAACCAGTGGTTTTTATTCCATTTTTATTCCATTTTGGTTTTTTTCTGGTCTGTAAATCGATTCTCTGGCTGCAAGTCGAATCTAAATTTTGCAGCCAGAGAAGTCTGTAACTCGAAAAGTCTGTAAGTCAAGCCGTCTGTAAGTCGAGGGTCCACTGTACAGAGACTGAGAGAAAGAGAGAGAGAGATGGCTATTTATAAAGCTCTCTTTCAATACAATTCAAATAATTTTTTTCCTGTCATGTTCCTTCAAATGCCTGATTTCCATATCAATCCATCCATAGTAATCAATTTGGATTATCTTGATCTTGGTATCTAACAACAGTTTACATTTAAGGATGTTTTCTAATTCCTTCATAACTGCCCTTCCAAGTCTCATTCTTCCGATTTCTCAGACACATTCTAGTATCCATTTGAACTGATGATTGAACCAAGGTATTTTAAAAAACCACATTTCAATTGTTTCAATTTCTTTGTTTCTTCATCGTCAACCTTAAAGTCGTGTGGTTGTCTGTAGCCATTATTCTCATATTTCAAAGGTCCAGTTGTAATCTTGCTATTGGAATTTCTTCTTTAATATTATTCTGTACCTAGTCATTTCATACCTCCCTCATCTAATGAGTCGGATGCATTGCCAAATCCTTCACCTAGTGCTGTGTATAGATGATCCTGACTAAGCATGTTCATTCATTGGCCTAAGACAATGGCAGTGTTGGAAGTAACCACTTCCCACTCTATTTTAGAATGCAGACAATGATTTATTAAAATTGTGTGGAACAAAGAATGGATGCCCTAAAAAGCCCCACTACTATTTTCCCATAATTTGAGCAACAGATTGGAAAATTTCCAATAAGGATGTTGGATTACATGCTTGCAGTTCAGTTCGAGGCATGATTACATGGAAATAAATCCAAGCACGGCTTCACTCCTATGCTCGTAAACCTCATTCCTTTCAACACAAATTACTCTAAATTGAAGGTTCGTGTGCCTTCAACTTTAGGAACACAGCCAAAAAGCAAAACGCTTTTGTCTTTACTTTTGATTTGTTTTTGCCTGACACGCCAGCACAGACTAACACGGCTACCTCTTCTGTAAGTGCAGCCTTAGGAAGGTCGTTTTTCACAAACCGTGTTAACAGTTTTGTGAGAATGAGTAACAGGAAACTTTCCTTCCATGCACTGTCTTTTAAAGTCGTGTCGCACAAGGTGCCTTTTTAGATTGTCCTTCCGACCCACCCACACCATGTGTCCATGAGAGAATGCACTCTGTACGTGCTCAGAAAACTTCCTCTTGGTCACGTGTTCCCGAACACGATGGTTTTTAAGCCGCGGTCATGCGTGGTCCCAAATCCGCCCTCCGCTTTGAGGAAAGGCGTCAGTTCTTCCGTAAGATTCCATTTCCCCGCCTCACTTTGCCGCTTCCCCACCAAGGGTTTTACACATGCTGACTCGACCTAACCTGCTGCGGCCTTTCACCAGTGAACCACTCGCTACTCTCAGCAGCTTCGGATTGGTTCGCCTTCCCCGAAGCCCTGTCGTGCGATTGGCTCCGCCGTAAGACCGGGCTCCCGCCCCCCTCTCCGGCACCCAGCAGGTTCGGTTGCGTTCTCGGTTAGCTAGTTCCTGGTCTGGTTCTAGGCCCTCGTCCGGCGGGGGAGGGGCGGGAGTTGCTGCTGCTGAGGAGCTGCTCAGGGAGTCGGACGGGGCCATGTTGCCCCGAGTGTAGCGGCCGCAGGACCTCCACCCCCGTCGTCGACGTCGTCCTCGTCCTCCTCCTCATCATGATCATAGAGAACGTGGACGCGCTCAAGTCCTGGCTTGCCAAGTTACTGGAGCCAATGTAAGTAAGGGGGTGGCCGGGCCGGGCCGGGCGTGTGTGTGTGTGTGTGTGTGGGGGGGTGATTGGGTCGTGTGGTTTCAGTTTCCTCTCCACACACGGTGGGGCTGAGGGGGGCGGCCCTTCCCGCGGGTGGGGAGAAA